GTGTGGGTGAACAAGCCCCAGCTTCCCCTGGCCATCCCCGCCGTTAAAACATTCCATCCCCCTCCCGCCACCTCCAGCCCCGCGGGGGGCAGGCCTGTGCGCTGGCCCGAGCGAGGGGCAGTGTGGGCACAGCTGTTTCCCCAGCCCTGCCCCAGCAGCGAGCGGAGCAGCTAGCACCAGGCAATCCCGGCCGGGCAGGGGGTACCCAGGGCCCAGAACGGGGGCAGGGCCCCCACGCCTCCTCCCCTGGCTGACTTCTGCCCCCGCCTCCGTCCTGTTTCTCAGGGCGCCTTGCTCCCAGGCTGCTGGTGTGGGCTCACCCTGGCTTCCCCCACGTGCGCTGCTTCTGCCCCTCGTCCCGACCCCGATCCCGAGAGACAGAGGGGGCAGACACAGCGGGCACAGTCGTGACAATGCCGAGAGCGTGTTGCCGGGCTTCGGAAGCTGCCTAAGCGCATCCTCACAACAGCCCTGGGAGGCAGGGCCCGTAATGACCTCGTCCCCAGTTTGCTCACGAGGAAACTGAGGCAGGGAGAGTATCGGCGACAGGCCCCGTTGCCTACAGCCTGGAAGGGCCGGGGCCAGGATGCAGAGCCAGCCTGGCTGGTGCCCGGGGCCCGCTGTCTACCCCGACAGACATGCTGGGGTCAAGTCTGGCAACTTCTCAGAATCCCATACTCTTCCGTGGCTCCACACATTCTTATTAATCCCCTGCCATGTGCCAAGCTTGTTCTGTTTGCTGGGAGAAATGCCGGGGAGTGGGAGAGGCTTGGGCGGGCGCTGGAGCCAACTGGCCTGCACAGAGGGGAGTAGGGGTGCGGGACGGGTCCGCCAGCTCAGCACCCCCAAAGCTCAGCTGCAGTGTCCACCTGTGACCCCAGGGACCACACGCTACCATTTTCTGTGTGTGGTACCCTAGAGCAAAACAGCAGAGCGAACTCCCAAGCCCTAACCGCTGCCAGGAGAAGTTATCCCAGTTTGGCAAAACCCTGCCCACACGGGGGCCGTTGCTTTGCGAGTCCGAGGAGGCCTAGTCCCCTGGAGCAGACTGGTGCCTGGAAGATCATCCCCTCAGTGGCCCCTCAGTGAATGCACTTTTCTAGGCCACTTGCTCATCATGCCACACTCCCCTCAGACGGCTGCTTCCTCCAGGAAGCCCTCCTTGACGCCCCTGACCGGGTGTACCTGCCGGCATGTCATCCTTCCTGGTCTTCCTCTGGGTGTAGTTTCATATTTATGTTGGTGATTCTCTGACTGATATCAGTTTCCCGCCCTGGGCTGTGCCCTCCCTCCCTGCCCAGTGCCCCTTTTGCAGTTGCTCCAACAGCCCAGCCAGACTTCAGACAGGCAGTTGCCTCTGCCTGGACGCCCTTCCCAGGTGTCCATGGGCTCAGCCCCTGACCTCCTTCAGGCCCTTGCTCACATCCATTTAGTGACGCAACCTCACTGTGCTGCTGCTGTTGAGAATTGCACCCCTCTCCCCAGCACCCCAGTCGCCTCCTCTGTACATTTCCCTGTTGCACTGCCACCTTCTCGCATGTTGTGTGACTGACTCTCTTATTGTCATCTCTCCCCACTCCAAGGCAGCCCACGAGAGTGGGTTTTTTTTCCTGTTCTCTCCCTTCCTAGATACGTGCGACTACGTGTGTTAAGTGAATGAGCAACAGTGTCTGGCCTACAATAGCTCCACTTGGGGTTTTTCAGCAAAAACAACACAAAAGCTACTTGCGTTCAGTAGGACTGTCCTCGAAATTGGCCTGTTGCTCCTTCCTAGCCTCAGTCCCTGGCGCAGAGGCAGTGAGTGCACCAGGTCACCCCGCTGTCACAAGGGGAGACCACCAGTGCTCAACAGATGACTGTGTTGCCAGCATTTTCAACTTAGAATTGTTTCATTTTATGATGGGTTTGTCAGGCCATCACCCTACCCTCAGTCAAGGGAGATCTGCACTGAGGTCTGGGGAATCCTATGACTTCAGACCTCCCCTTGGCTGAGAAATGATGACTGAAGCAAGAAATTTCCAGAAAGTTCTTTTTAAAATTTGCAATGGGGCCTCCCCGGTGGCACAGTGGGCTGAGTGCAGCGCTGTGACACCTTCCGCAGCCTCTGCAGCACCAGTTCGATTCCCAGCTGGACAGGGAGATTCCCACATGGCATGGCAGACCTCTCCTGTCTCGCCCGCTGCTCCCCTCAGCAGTGTATTTCGTCAGTCTGCCTGTTCTGTTCCCTGCCCTGTCTCTGGTGAATCCTCTCACCCTCCCACACCATCTGACCTGTACCCCAGTTCTTGTATGCATGGATAAATAAATCTTTTTTTTTTTTAAAGCCCTAAATTGGAGTTTACATCTCCCTCTCCCTCGGGCCTGGTCCAGCCACCTCAAGACCACGGAACCCCAGCCCACAGGTGCCTGGGGTTAGGGGGAGCAGCACTGTGACTGTTCACAGCTCTCCCCTCTAGCCTTCTGGGCATGGGTGGTAGTTCACGCTCCAGGCAACAGCATGGGGCCCAGGGGAAGGGGCCCAGGGAAAGGCCTAGCTGGTTCACACTTCGAAAGAGGAAGAAAAGGTAAGAAACTAAAGCCTGTCCTATTGTTTTTTTGCCAGAGAATGTGGGGGGCACAATGAAGGGAGGGGCATGGCGGGAGAGGGTTGAATGTGCCTCTCACCTCAGCCCCACGCTGAGAGTGACACAGAGACACAGGCTTCACCTGGCTCACGCCTTTCTGCACTCACACATTTACAGATTGTCTGAAGGCCAGGCATTGTGTGAGGCGCAGGGAGAGAGCTGCAAACAGAACAGCCTGGTCCCTGCCCTCAGGGGCTGACTGACTTGAGGGGCAGAGATGAGATAAATAAATAAGCCCTCATATGAGATAACATCGAGTAGTGGCAATGCTGTCTGTGGACAAGGGCTTGACTGGGGGTCGGGAAGGGAGACCCTGTGAGGACAGCAGCCGAAGCTGAGCCCTGAGGAAGAGGAGGTAGCATGTGAGAAACGGGGGTGGGGTGGATTCCAGGAGGTGGGAGCAGCACATGCAAAGACCACATGGTGGAAGAGGCGGGAGGCACGTCTGGGGTAAGAAGTTTGGTTGCGACTAATGGAGCTGGCGGCCGCTGGAAGGTCCACACAAGGGAGCGTTGTGACTCGATGGACATTTGGGGCAAGTCACACTGCTGCTGTGTGGTGACCAGCAGGAGGCACGAGCCCCTTGGGATGTCCCTGTAGTTGTTCATTGTTCAGCAAGGTGATGACAGGGGCCACGGCCGCATCCGTCTGGGAGGTAGAGGGGTCAGGACGTGGCAAAGGACAGCAGCGTGTGGGGTGAGGGAGGAACTGTCCAGAGTGACTCCCAGTTTACCGACCTAAATGCCAGGTGGTCCCATCCACACCAGTCCCCTTGGGAGGGGCAGGAGTAACCGCCACCAGTGCTCTGGCCCAGAGGTGAGGCTGGTGAGGGAGGGAAGCTAAGGACAAGGAGAGGGACAAAGCGGAGCCCAGAACTGCAGGCCTGGAGCAGCTGGCAAGGAGCTCTGCCAGGACTGGAGGGGCCAGGCCAGGCCTAAAGGACAATAGGAAGCCCCCAGTTCTTGGCAGTGCCATGGAAACTTGGTGCCCAGGAAATGGGTCAGCGAGACCTACACACGGCCTACATACGTGGCCCCCTCCTTTTGCGACCCTCCATCCTCCTGAAAATGGCCACATAAGCAAGATTCTACCAGGAACGGGACCCAGCACCTCCCGGTGTGCACCTCCATCCCCCAGGGACCCACTTCCCGCCCCAGAAGCTGGGGCTGAGCTGTGACTCTCACTTCCCCCACCCAGGGGCATGTTTCTGCCCTTTTCTTTCTTTTTTTTTCTGCCCTTTTCTGCCAGAAGACTCTTCTGCTTTCTAAGAATCAACAAGGGCCCTCCCTGGTGGTGCAAGGGGTTAAGCACAGTACTATGAGGCTGTCCGCAGCCTCTGCAGCACAAGTTTGATCCCCGGCTGGCCAGGGAGCTACCCACAGGGTGCAGCAGACCTCTCCTGCCTCCCCCGCCGCTCCCCTCAGCAGTGTATTTCGCTCAGTCTACTTGTTTTGTTCCCCACTCTGTCTCTGGCGAATCCTCTCACCCTCCTGCACCTCTGGCCTGTACCCCAGCTCTTATATGCATAAATAAATAAATCTTTTTTAAAAATCAATGATTGACCATGAATCAATCAATCAATCAATGAACGAACATGGAAGCGAGAGAACCGCCCACCCCGCGGCCCTGCAGCTGGGCCTCTCATCTCTATCTTTTTAAAAAAGATTTATTTATTTATTTATGCATACAAGAACTGGGGTACAGGAAAGAGATGGGGGGGTGAGAGGATTCACCAGAGACAGGGCGGGGAGCAGAACAGGCAGACTGAAGAAATCCACGGCTGAGGGGAGCCCCGGGGAGCCAGGAGAGGTCTGCCGCGCCATGTGGGTAGCTCCCAGGCCGGGGCGCGATCTCGCGCTGCAGAGGCTGCGGACAGCTTCACAGGATGCGCCTCAACCCCTCGCGCCACCAGGGAGGCGCCTTTCATCTCGTTGTGACCCCGGAGCGTCTGGGTGCGGCCGGGAACCCGCACTCCGCTCGCGGCGCGGGCGCACGTCTCGGGGCTCACGCTCCGCCGCGCGCGGATCCCGGGAGGGGGGCGGCCTGGGCGGCGCGACGCCCACAGCGCGACCCGCGCCGGCGCCCCGACCCGCGGGCCCAGGCCCGCCCGGGCGGCGGTCACGTGACGGCGGGCGGCGGTCACGTGACGGCGGCGCGGGCGGCGGCCAATGAGGCGGCGGCGCGGGCGGGGCCCCGGGCGGCGCGCGAAGGGCCGGGCGGCGGGGACCGCGGGCGGCGGGGCCCCTCCGGGCGCGGGGCGGCCGGCATGCGGTGCGAGGTCACCGGCGGCCACGTGAAGGGTGAGCGGGGCCGGCCGGGGCCGCGGGCGCGCGGGGGGCCGGCGGCGGCGCTAACGCGGTTCTGCTCTCCCCGCAGTGCTCGGCAAGGCCGTCCACTCCCTGTCGCGGATGGGGGACGAGCTCTACCTGGAGCCCCTGGAAGACGGGGTGAGGGGCCGGGGTCGGGGCGTTCCAGCGGGGACCCCTCCCCGGGCCTCGAGTCCCGCGTCCGCCGGCAGGAGGCCCGCGGGCAGACTTGGCCGCGGGGCGGGTGTCTGGCCTTGGGTGGGGGTGTGTGTCCCTTGGCCCCGGGCAGCTCCCCAGAGGCGCTGGCAGCTGCGGGCAGTGGCCTCTGACGTGCTCGGTGGAGCAGTGCTGAGGCGGGGGGCAGGCCCGGTGGAGCGGGCCCCTCCGACAGGGAGCAGAGGGAGGGGTCACCAGGTGGAGCCCGCGCATCAGCCAAAGCCCCGGCGCTGGCCCTGCCCCTCACCGCATCCCTCTCCTGCTTTTCCTGGCCCAGCTCTCCCTCCGGACCGTGAACTCCTCCCGCTCGGCCTATGCTTGCTTCCTCTTCGCCCCGCTGTTCTTCCAGCAGTACCAGGCGGCCACCTCTGGGCAAGACCCCTTGCGCTGCAAGATCCTGATGAAGGTGAGGGGGCCCCTCGGAGGCGGCACTGCGCGCTCCAGGAACCTCCTCTCTCAGGGTCTGCCCCAGGCCGCTGGGTAGATGTTAACTGGGGAGCTGTGTGCAGGCGTGACCCAGGGCAGGCTGCAGGGAGAGGCGGAGGGAAGACAGCAGGGGCTTGTCGTGGAGCTCTGGAGAGGCTGATGGGTTCTGCCGGGTACTGCGAAGCATAGGGACAGGCAAGCTGGTCCTGGGAAGCTGAGCAGGCCCTGGACGCCTAGCTGCAGGGACGGTAAGAGCAAGAGCCTGGAGGCATCAATATTGGGCATGTGGCCGGGCCTTTCCTGGGTGATGGGGCTGAGCCCATGAGGCCGGGGCCCACGTGGGCCAGGAGGCACGCGCTTCCAGCTGCCATCTCCCCCGCAGTCCTTCCTGTCTGTCTTCCGCTCGCTGGCCTTGCTGGAGAAGACCGTGGAGAAGTGCTGCATCTCCCTGAATGGCAGGGCCAGCCGCCTGGTGGTCCAGCTGCACTGCAAGTATGGTGAGTGGGCAGCTGGCTAGTTCAGGAGCTCTGGGGCGTGGGGTGGAGGTCCTGAGGCCCACCGAGACTGTCTGTCCATCCAGGGGTGAAGAAGACTCACAACCTGTCTTTCCAAGACTGTGAGTCCCTGCAGGCTGTTTTCGATCCCGCCTTGTGCCCCCACGTGCTCCGTGCCCCAGCCAGGTGAGCACAGCCCCGGCCCCAAGTGGAGCCCTGGGCCTCTGGGTCTTCTTTGGGCCTCAGGCATCAACTCGAGAAGGTACCGCCTTTGCTTTCCTACAGGGTTTTGGTGTTTTCTTTTTTTTAAAGATTTACTTATTTATACATACAAGAACTGGGGTACAGGCCAGAGATGTGGGGGGAGGGAGTGGGAGGATTCACCAGACAGAGCAGGGAACAGAACAGGCAGATCGACTGAAATACACTGCTGAGAAGAGCAGTGCTCGAGTCAGGAGAGGTCTGCTGCGCCATATGGGTAGCTCCCTGGCCGGGGATTGAACTCTTGCTACAGTGGCTGTGGATAGCTTCATAGGTTGCGTTTTAACCCCTTGCACCACCAGGGAAGCCCTCCTGCAGGGTTTTGAACTTCAGTTCGCCCAGCCCAGTGGGCTCTCAGGGCAGAGGCCGAAGTGGAGGGGCTGGGTGCACCTCTGCCCTGTTCCTGTCACTGTCTTCATCAGCCTGTCTTCTCCGCTCCAGAGTGTCAGCTCCACCTCCGGCCACTCAGGCCTTTTTCTTTTTCTTTTTTTTTTAAAAAACTATTTATTTATTTATTTATTTATACAAGCACTGGGTACAGTCAGAAGCACGGAAGGGTGAGAGAATTCACCAGAGCCAGAGCGGGGAGCAGAGCAGGCAGACGAAGTACACTGCTGAGGGGAGCAGCGGGCGGCAGGAGAGGTCTGTCGCACCATGTGGGACCCTCACCCGGAGGCTGGGGATTGAACCGCGCTGCAGAGGCTGCGGGCAGCCTCACAACCCGGTGCTCAACTGCTGTGCCACTGGGGAAGCCCTCAGGCCTTTTTCTGATGCCCAGAGGGCAGGTCCCTGGCCTGCCTTCAAATTTCCTTGCACCTACACGGCCTTGATGCTCCCTCTTTAGTCTTTGTGGGTTAGACAAAAACCCTCCCCTGGCTCATCCTTCTGGGAATGCTCCCCTTCAAGGGCAGCCTCTCCCACCTCCTGAACTCCACCTTTGAGGAACCCCGGCCAGGGCAGGAGGTCCTGGTCCAGAAGGGCTGTGCAAACAAGCACCTGCTGAGATGAAGCCATTTGGGGCAGGCGGGGCACTAAGGGGGCCAGATGGCAGCAGGGGCAGAGGTTCCAGGCCTAGGCCAGCAGAGGAAGGCTCTCCTGCCGCCCCCCCTGCCCCATGCAGCCCTCGGGTAGGCTGGGCTTGCTCAGTTTTTAGGATGTAGTAACTGGAAGGGCCCAGTCCTCTCTAGTTCTTCTGGGGCAGTAGTGGGTAGAGGAGGGAGACTGTCACCCCCAGTCTGGACTTGGAGGTCTCTCTTTCTGCTTTACGAGCAATTTTTCCTTTTTCTTATAGGCAGATTCACTTACATGTAAAAGCAGATGCCAGCTCTGCTCCATTTGTCTTGAGGCAGATTCCAGCTGACATTTCATCTGTAAATATTTATCACTGTGCTTCCCTACAAGGATAGAAGGGTTTTTTCCAAGGCAGCATCCAGAGGGGCTGTGGATGTGGCTCCGCACCCCTGAAGGGTCTGGTGCAAACAGCCACCTCCCTGCTGGCGTCCCGGGGACCCGCCCAGCCCTGGCCGTGGACTTCTCTCCCATTGCAGCCTGGGAGCTTTGCTGGGGCAGGGCCTGTCCTGCTTACCCGGGCCTCCTTCCTGGGGCACCAGGCCTGCCCACGACCGTTCTCCCAGAACGTCACCCATGTCACTGCCCTGCCACCGATCCTGAGAGCAAAGCCACGGGGCAGGGCTGGTCTCGGGTGTGACACTGGCCCTCCTCATAGGGTCCTGGCCGAGGCTGTTCTGCCCTTTCCCCCTACACTGGCTGAGGTGACACTGGGCATCGGCCGTGGCCGCAGGGTCATCCTGCGCAGCTACCAGGAGGAGGAGGCAGGTGAGGGAGCCAGACTTGGCTGGGACAGGGAGCAGAGCTGGGGTGGGAGGTGGGGCCCCGGGGCCACCTGGTTCTGCTTCCCAGACAGCACTGTCAAAGCCATGGTGACCGAACTGAGCCTCGGGGAGGAGGATTTCCAGCAGCTGCAGGCCCAAGAAGGGGTGGCCATTACTTTCTGCCTTAAGGAATTCCGGGTGAGGCTCCCCCTCCCCCGGCGCCACCCCCCCCCCCCATCTTCCCTGCCCTGCTTGGGGCCTCACCCCTCTGCCTCTCCTGCAGGGACTCCTGAGCTTTGCAGAGTCAGCAAACTTGCCTCTCAGCATTCACTTTGACACTCCCGGCAGGTAATTCCCAGCAGGGGTTGGGGGAGTTCCAAGTGCCTGAAGCCAAAGGGCTCTGACCTTGCCCTTGCCTGTCATCCATCCAGGCCAGCCATCTTCACCATCACAGACTCTTTGCTGGATGGCCACTTTGTCCTGGCCACCCTCTCAGAGCTGGACCCACCGTCCCAGAACTTGCACTCTCCTGAGCTCCGCAGGCCAGCGCCTCAGCTCCCTGCTCACAGGTGAGTGCTGCCCCCCACCCCCCAGCCTGCCGGCTTCCAGTCCCGCCACCCCCCAGCACATACTTCCTGTCGGCCCCAGCCCCTTGGGTACTCACAGCTTCCAGCCCCATAGGCTCAGCCTTCCCTGTCAGCTGTGCTCAGAGAACCCTCCCACCCAGGGAAGTGTCCCCAAGGTAGGGCTGGCTTCCTTCTCTGGCAGAGGCCTGAGGCCTCCCCTCTGAGCCTCCTCCCAGGCCAAGGAGAGAAAGGGCTGCCGGGGGGTGGGGGGAAGCAGGTGGCTGGAAGGGCAGGTGGGTTGGGGAGGATGGGCCCAGCCTAGTTGAATCAGAGGAAGTTGGGTCTGGCCCCCCGCCCAGCATGTCCCTGGGCCCCAGTGCTCTCCAATTCCTGTGCCCTGGGGAGGTGGGGCTTGGACCCCAGGCGGCCCAGCTCTGGACTTGCTGCTCTCCTCCCCCTGCTGAGGGAAAACCGGCCCCCTCAGCTCCTCCCTCCGGCCCCTACCTGAACTCCCATCAAAGGATTCCAGGCCCACCCCCTCCAGGAAGCCACCACTTAACCCCCCCTCCCCTCTCCAACCAAACCAGGAAGTAATAAAATCCAGAAATCACTGGTGGTCACGAGGCCCCCTCTCCGTCCTCCAAGGTGGGGGCTTGCCTTCGTACCCTCCCTCCTCCTCCTCACTTCCCTGACACCACCTCTGCCTGCAGCGCGCCCCCCGTGGACGACTTTGTTAATGATGACATCGACTCTTACATGATTGCCATGGAAACCACTCTGGGCAGTGAGGGCGCGCGGGCTCTGCCCTCCATCGCTCCCTCAGCCGGCCTCCAGTTCCCTGGTAGCCCCGGCCCCCTCTCGGAGGCGGAGGAGGAAGACGACACCGAGCCCAGTACAGTGCCTGGGACTCCTCCGCCCAAGAAGGTAGGGGCTGGAGGGGGCGGCAGGGATGGGCGGCAGGCAGCGACCTCCGGAACTCACTCAGCCTTTGTTCTTCCAGTTCCGCTCCCTGTTCTTTGGCTCCATCCTGGCCCCGGCGCTTTCCCCCCAGGGCCCCAGCCCAGTGCTGGCCGAAGACAGTGAGGGCGAAGGCTGAGCTGAGAACCGCACGTGTGTCTGGAGGCCCTGGCCTAGGTGGAACTGCAGCCACCCCTCCCCCCAGCACCAGCACCAGGTCTCTGCCCTGGTGAGGTAGAGGCGCGCTGGACTGGCGCCGAGCCGGCTGGCCTTGCTGGCCTCCCTCCGCCCCCCCAGCTATCTGTGACTGGCCTGGGTCCTGTCACCTTCTCCCAGTTCCCAACTAATCATGTCTGAACAGGGATCCTCGCCTTGTGGCCAGGGCTGGACCCTGCTTCCTCTCAGTCCACCTCCCTAAGGAAAAAAAAATCAGTGACTCACCTCCTTTACCAATAGTGACCTGACCCTCCTTCAAACCCCAGGCGCACCTCTGTAGCCTGCACGGCACAGACAGCTCTTGCTTTCCTGGTGATTGTAGGCCCTGGCTCAGATTCTGAGCCTCCGTGGACCCGAGGCTGCCTTTCCCCAGTGGCTGTGGGTGGAGGGGCTGCCAAACCCAGTGTCTGCGACAAGGGAGACAGAGGCATGGCAAGAATCCAGCTTTGACCTTTATTCAAGAGACCAGATGGGTTGCCCCAGGAGCCGGCTGCCAGCCCTGAGGACAAGCAAGGCTGGAGACCCACAATCTGGCCCTGCTTAGCCCTGAGCTGCAGCCTCAGCCCCAGGATCCTGCTTGCAGCCACCACTGGCACAGGCAGAGAGCGCCCTGGGGGACTGGATGCTGCTAGTGATTCATTAAAAAAAGAAAAAATACACCAAGGTCCCATGTTCCCCGTGACAGGTGGGCCTGGGGGCCAGCATAGGTGGCCCTGATAGCCGCATGATTCTGTACAATCCGCCACCTGGGGCAGAGGGTGGACCCACAGAGGCTACTTCTTGGCTTTGGCAGAGTTGCGGGGTGGGGTGATAGGCCGTCCTCCGGGGTTCAGGCCACTGAACTGCCCGTATTTCCCCTTGTTCTTGTCGGCGGGCTTGAGAATCTGAAAGAGACAAGGCTGGTCAGGGTCTCCGAGCAGCATGGAGAGGAAGGCCTGCCGGCCCAGCCCTGCCCTGCCCTGCCCCCCCACCTGGAAGGAACACATCAGCGTCTCATCCACACTCATCATGGCGCCTGCGTTGTCAAATTCGCCACAGTAGTTGGGAGCCGAGAAGAGTGTCACCAGCTGCCGCTTGGCAAAGAACTCGTAGCCGTCCTCGACCACCTGGACCAGGACAGGCTGTCAGCACAACCGGGGCCAGCCCTGGGCCCCCCCTCACCTCACGGGCCAGCACTGCCAGCCCACCTGGTGTGCCCGGCAGATGAGGTCCAAGTCGTGCTTGTGCAGGAACTTGGCCACCACCTCAGCCCCGAAGGTAAAGGAAACGCCACGGTCATTCTCGCCCCAGCCCTGCACATCCTTGTCGGGGTCCGACCACAGCAGATCACACAGCAGCCCCTGGTCAGGTACGTCTGTGGGCCTCATGATACGCCGAATCTGTTCCATCGACTGCAGGTCTGGGGACAGGCCTGGGTGACAAGGACCAGGTCACCACCTCAAACAGGCCTCAGAACAAGCCCGCCCCCACTCCTCAAATGCCCAGCTGGCAGAAGGCATCCCCTGTCTTCTCAAGGCCCTGCCCTCCAGGCAGAGCTCCTACAGCTGAGTGAACCCTCTGCACAAGGACCAGGCTCAACAGAGGACCAGGCAGTGGGCGGCAGGGGGCCACCTGGAAGAAATGACTGCCAAGCCCAGGCAGAGCTGTTACAGGCAGCTGGGAACAGCCCCAGCTGGCCCCGGGCTCGGGACCGTGCCCTGGCTCCCACCTCGCACAGGCCCAGAGCCCCTCACCTCCGTGGCAGCAGAAGATCTTCTCATCCACGATGGCGGCGATGGGCAGGCAGTTGAAGCAGTCGGTGAACGTTTTCCACAGCTTAATATTGTAGCGTCTCTTGCCTGTCCAGAGAAAGGAGGTGGCTCGGGAGGAGGCCATGCGCCCCACCCCTCAACCTGGGGAACTTGACCATTTGGACACATCTGGGAGAGGGGCTGCTGCCTCCCAGGAGACATCCTCAAGCAGCAGTGTCCACAGGAACCCCCTCGGGGTTGTCTCCCTCCCCCATCCACCAGGCAGGACCAGGTCTGGCTTATCTCCACTTGCAGGCAGCGGAGTCCAGTCCAGAGGGGCATCCTCAATGCTTAAATAATGGAGGTACTGGAGGGAGTGCCCTGCCTTCGAACACGGGCAGCCATTCTCAGATCCCTCCCGGAGCCCAGCCCGGTGCCAGGAGGGCAGGGCGGAGAGATGAGAACTGAGGCGGCCTCCACGCGGCTCCTGGTCTGTGAGACACCCTACTCCAGGCCAGAGGGAGGGTCCACTCACTAACAGGGGGCCCCTTTGGGAGCTGGGCCGCCCCAGGCACTGCCCACTCACACTCATCGTAGAAGCCGTAGATGCGGTTGATGCTGGCACACTCGTGGTTCCCCCGGAGCAGGAAGAAGTTCTCCGGGTACTTGATCTTATAGGCCAGCAGCAGGCAGATGGTCTCCAAGGACTGCTTGCCCCGGTCCACGTAGTCCCCCAGGAAGAGGTAGTTGCTCTCCGGAGGGAAGCCGCCGTACTCGAACAGGCGCAGAAGGTCGTAGTACTGGCCGTGGATGTCGCCTGTGACCCAGGGAACAGTCAGCACAGGCTGCAGGCTCTGGAATTGACCCAGAGTTGAGCTCAAGGAAAAAAAGGGAGGGGTGCCATCTCAGGAAGCCAAGAGGCCTGGGGAGGGTCTCACCGCAGATCTTGAGGGGTGCCTCCAACTCCAGAAGGATGGGCTGGCTCAGGAAAATCTCCCTGGATTTCAGGCACAGGCCGCGGATCTCATTCTCTGTCAGCTGCACATTCTTTCCAGGCCTCGAGCCCTGCACTGGGGGCGGCAGGGAGCGTCAGGACCCTGGTCCGTCGGGCAGGAGGGGGAGCGGGCCATAAGGGTGGTCCCAAGGGCATATCTGGGGGCGCGTGGGCCTCCTGGGCCCCTCCTGGCCCAGGGGCAGCTGTTGCTGCTGCGTGTCGGGGAACCTCCGCCTCAAGCCTCCCAGGACGGGGCCGAACTACCCACAGGACACTCCCGAGGGGGCTGCTGTGCGCAGGGGCCTGCCGCGCACACCTCGAGGCGCAGGACCCCTTCCCGAGGACCGGGCTTCGAAGGTTTCTCCCGCGCCCCAGGAGCCCCCGGCCCTGGAGCCCCAGCGCCGCCCCCCGCGGCCCCCGCCGGAACTGGCCCGACCTCCCGGGTGCCCCCGGGCGGGGGGGCCGGGCGGCGGCCGCGAGACCTCGCGGCCCGTCCCCGCCCAGAGCAAGCTGGCCCGGGGGGGGCGGCGCGCGCGACGGCCGGGCCGGGCCGAGACGCGCGGCCGCGACCCCTCCCGGCCAACCTTCCAGCAGGCGCCCGATGATAGAGTCCAGGTTGAGCTTCTCGCTGTCGGACATGGCGGCTCCGCCGCTCCGGCCCAGCAGCTCCGGGCCCGCTCCTGCCTCCCGCCCTCCGGCCGCCTCCTTCCGGCCTTGCGCTCCTTCCGCCGCCCCGGCCGCCCCGCCCCGCCCCGGCCGCCCCGCCCCGCCGCCCCCCGCGCTCTCGAGCGCCCCCGCCGGCCGCCGGGCGCACGGCCGCAGGGGCGGGGCGGGGCGGGGCGGGGCCGAGCGTGGCCCCGCCCCCGGCTCCCCCGCGGCTCGGGGCCCGGAAGTGCCGGGAAGTTGTTTTCGTCCCGCGGAGGCCGCGCGGTCCTTCCCCCGGGGCGAGCGCGCCGGCGCCGGCCCCGAAACAGGCGGGACAAGTGCCCAGGGCAGAGCAGGCCCAGGCCGGGCGCTGGCCAGAGGCCGCCCGCGCGTCGGGCCGCGAGGCTGCTGCGGCCTCCAGCGCCGCCTGGCCCCGGGCTCGTTGCCTGCGGGGCCCGCGGGGTCGCGCGGCGCCGAACCCTGGCGCGCCTGCCGGGCGGCGCGGCCGCGCTGCGCGCGTGTTCAGAGCAGTGCCCGCCGAGGGCAGCACATCATAACCCTTGCTAGGCCCGTGAGCTGAGCGCCTCGTGCGCCGTACCTGGAGGTGGCCCCTCGCACCCCGCGGGCGCCGAGCCTATAGCCACATGGGTGGGAGGGGCCCAGGCTCAGGGGCACAGGGGCAGGGCGGAAGAGGAAGGGGTGACCCCCCCCAGCTTGGGAGGGGCCCCCCAGTGGTTGTTGCTGAAGCCGTGGCTGAAGAGGAAGCGAGAGGAGGAGGTAGGTAGGTGCAGCAGGGAGGTAAGCGGGGCTGGTGGGGACAGGGGACAGTGACCCGCTGAGATAGGTGTGGCCTTTCTGCCAGTCAGGGCCTTGCCCGTTCCCCCCACACACATCCCTGAAGGGCAGAGGGGGCTTGGTGAGATAACCTGAAACCTGAAACCTCCCTCTCTGACCCTGAAACCAGGCCCTGGAGCTGGGGACTCCCGCATTTGGGGCCCACGCCCTGAGCTACTAGAAGCTTCTCTCTCACTGACTCTCCCCACACCTTGCAGCCTGGAGCGGCAGGGGTCTGGGGTGCCATGGCCCAGACCCTGGGGGAGGACCTGGTACAGCCTTTGGAGCTGCAGGATGACTCCAGCTCTTTGGGCTCCGATTCTGAGCTGAATGGGCCTGGCCCTTATCGCCAGGCAGATCGCTATGGCTTCATTGGGGGCAGCTCTGCAGAGCCAGGGTAAGTGGGAAAGGGACGGGAGGTAGAAGGGTGTTGGGATTGCGGGTGGGGCTAGAGTGAGGCACCCAACCTCAGGGTCCTGGGCAGGTCTGGGGCTTCAGCCAGTGTCAGCCCTCCACAGGGTGGAATCCTAAACTGGCAGGGCTAGGGGTGGGGTATCCTTATACATCTCTTTCATTGCCAGTTTCCAAGGGTTTGTACCTGCCCTTGGGGGCTGAACATCGTTCCCCTTTCAGTCTCAGATCCTGGCCCAGGATCCCAGATCCAAATCAGAGAACCTACACTGCTCCCCCGCCCTCCCCTTTCCCAGTGTAGACACAGGACAAGCCAAAAGACAGCGGACCAGAAACGGACCTGGCTGCTAGGCCAGGGCTCCAGTTCAATGAGTTGCCCATGCCCTGTCCCTGGACGACAGCCAACCAGCCCTTCCCCCAAAACACACCTACACACCCCCTTCAGTCTCTCCTGCTTCCGCCCACAACCCAGCCACATCCTTTCCTGTCCCCATGACAACCGCTGGCAACTCCTGGGTGACAGGTCGCCCCTCCCCCAGGGCACCCCAGACGTCCCAGGGCTAGGAGCGTGGAGGGTCGCATAGGTGAGCCCCAGTACCTGGACGCCTGTGCCCTGTGTCCCTAGGTTGGGTCACCCTCCTGCAGACCTCATACGCCAGCGGGAGATGAAGTGGGTGGAGATGACTTCGCACTGGGAGAAAACCATGTCTCGGCGGTACAAGAAGGTGAGGGGAGTGTGGCCCGCCTGCCTCTTTGGCCCCTCTCCCTCTGCGTTAATCCACGCACTGACAAAATTACCCTCTGGTGCCTGGCACCTCCTGCCTTCTTTTCCTGCCCCCCAAAATGGCCCTCTGCTCCAGAACGAACAAGCTTGGGCCTTGTTCCCACGATGCAGGGGAGGCTGGCCAGTTGGCCTGACGTTTTCCCTGGCACCTGCAGGTTAAGATGCAGTGCCGGAAGGGCATCCCCTCCGCCCTGCGGGCCCGGTGCTGGCCCCTGTTGTGTGGCGCCCACGTTTGTCGGGTGAATAGCCCTGTAAGCTATGAGGTAAGGGAATTGGCTGTCCCTGGCTGTTCCCCTCGCCCCTCGCTATTCTGAGCCCTCACACCCACCTGCCTGCCCGCCCACAGACCCTGGCCGAGACCCCTGGAGACCCGCAGTGGATGGAGACCATCGGCAGGGACCTGCACCGCCAGTTCCCTTTGCATGAGATGTTTGTGTCGCCCCAGGGTCATGGGTACGAGGCCGGCAGTGCCCAGGGGCCCCAGCCCCTCCAACCCTAGGCGCGTTGGTGCATTCCCCTGCCCTAGCTTTATGTGCTTACATCTCAGGGGATTCAGCCCAGCCCAGGGGCCTGGGGCCTAGACAGAGCACACCAGAGGGTAGGGAAGGGAGGCCTGAGGACTGACTGCTAACGGGGTCTTCTGGCACAGGCAGCAAGGGCTCCTGCAGGTACTGAAGGCCTACACGGTGTATCGGCCTGAACAGGGCTACTGCCAGGCCCAGGGCCCTGTGGCGGCCGTGCTGCTCATGCACCTGCTCCCAGAGGTGAGTGCCCTTAACCCTGCTCCAGAGGCCAGAGACCCAAGGCCCCAAGCCCCAGTGACCCATGATCCTCAACCCTAATGGTCTAGGGTCCTAGTAATCCTGTGCTGGGACCCGTGACACCCGACCTCAGGAATGCTCAGGGGCCGGGGATCCTTGACTCCCAGATCTGAAGGGCCCAGGGACTCACGACTGCCACCATCAGTGACCTTGAAGCCCCATGATCTTGACTTCCTGAACCTGGGACCTTGACCCCTGACCCTTACCCCAGGTACTTAAGAGTTAGGATGTTGTCACTTGGACTTCATGACTCTTGATTCTGAACATGTCACCCCTGACTGCACAACCCCAGGAACCCAGGACTTGAACTTCGGGACCCTCCCAACCCTTGACCAGTGAACCCCACCCTGCAACCCTCAAATTCCATGCCCTGAGCCCAGTGACTTCCAGCCCCCTAAACGCATTGATGGACCTCCATCTGGGCAAACGGGAGACTCTGGATAAGAATAACTGCAGATAGTGTCAGCCCTCCGCTGAGCCCCAGCCCCCTGCCCTGCGCTTCCACCGTGGTCCACTCTGCTGGGCACTCATACCCCGTGCCCACCCCCCAGGAGGCCTTTTGGTGCCTGGTACAGATCTGCGAGGCCTACCTCCCTGGCTACTACGGGCCCCACATGGTGAGTGGCTGGCATGGGGCTAGAGGGTTTGGGGGAGGGCTGGGCTGGCAGGTGGGGACCGCGGGGGCAGAGCCAGGGCTCGACAGTGGAGGTGCTGATGGACATGGCCGCAGGAGGCCGTGCGGCTGGATGCCGAGGTGTTCACGGCCCTGCTGCGGCGGCTGCTCCCTCGCGTGCACAAGCACCTGCAGCAGGTGGGCGTTGGGCCCCTGCTCTACCTGCCCGAGTGGTTCCTGTGCCTCTTCGCGCGCTCCCTGCCCTTCCCCACAGTGCTGCGCATCTGGGACGCCTTCCTCAGTGAGGGTGAGTGGGGAGGTGGGGGTCTGGGGGACGCAGTGTGCAAGGGAGGGGGCACCCCCACTCTGCCGCCCTGCTGGCCTGCGCCTACCCTGGCCTGGGCCGGGGTGCATGGGGTGCTGTGGGCGATGGCGCTGAGCCAGTCCCTCACACATGTACCGCACGGCAGCCTCGTCCCCTGGGCTGAGACCAGCAGAAGGTGGGTGTGCTGGGAGAGTGCCTGGGAGAGGATGGGGGGACCCCAGGGGTGGAGCAGCTCTAGGGCTGTGCAGTGGGGCATGGCCCAGAGCAGGGCACTCACCCCTGGGGAGCCCTCACTGGGGCCAGGCGCTGCTCTGGAACTGATGGGGTGATGGGAGGCAACGATAACCAGGTTAACGGGATAGATACAGATGGTCGAAAGTGCCACCAAGGAAATAAAACAAGCTGTGGCAGAGCATCAGGGCAGTGGTGGGAGGAAAGGGCTGTTTTCAAAGATGCTCTGGTTGCTCCATAGAGGAGGGCAACCTGTGGGCAGGGTGGCGGCCGGGAGGCCTCGAGGGCACTGGCCCAGGATCCAGCTCCAGACGACTGGACAGGGTAGGGTGAGGGAAGGGAGAAGCTGTGGCCAGGCCAAGAGTGGGGGCACCTGGGCAGAGCTAAGCTGGACTCTGGTGCTTGGGGGCTTGGTCCTAGTGCCTGCCTCCCCGCCCCCAGTAACTCATTTGCATCCTCGTCGATGTGGGATGTGTACAGTTGCACCTGAAAATGGTAGGAGTCCGTGTATTTACTGAGCACCTGCTGTGTGCCCACCTGACTAGTCTGGCTTTGAGCTCTGGCCCTCACCGTCCAAGTCACCTACCATGTGCCACCTGCCCTCCAGCCCTGCATCTCGAGAGCGGCCGGGCCGGGGCCCTGTCAGTGGGGCTGAGCTGCCCTCGTCCTGTCAACCCTGGACCAGCACCGCCAGATTTCCCTTCCCGAAAATGAGAACGTTAATAGTTGCTGTTGTCTCTTTACAAGTCACAGTCGTCACAGGGCCTTGAGGTTCCCTAACCACTCTGCTCGGCAGAACGGAGGCTGCCAGGAGGGAGTTCAGTGGCACCTGGAAGGGCCCAAGGTCACCCCAAGAGCCGGCCCAGGAGCGTGCATGCACGCCCGTGTGTGAGCGGGCGTGGTTACACGTACATGTGTGAACTCTGTGCTCCTGGTTTAGGGGTGAGGAGCTGTGTGTGGAATCCAGAATCAGAAAGTCACAGAGCTGAGCTGGAAAGGCCCTGCAGGTTCCGCCTGCCCCTTCCTTGTGGGAACCAAATGAGGCCCGAGAGGGTTTGGCATGAAGCCCCCGTTATCTGTAGCCCCTGGCTCCTGGCAGATGCTCAGCCGGGAAGGGACGGCAGCTGCTGAGACTGACCCTCCAGTGCCTCAGTCGCTCCTCCCGGCTCAGGAGGCACCAGAGTGACAGCAGGGTGGAAGGCATCTGGCGGAGGGCAGGGTCAGGTGCAGAACTGGGGTGCTGGCCCCCTGCTGAGCGAGCCCTTGTCCCGCAGGTGTGAAGGTGCTGTTCCGTGTGGGGCTCACGCTAGTGCGTCTGGCACTGGGCACCTCAGAACAGCGCCTGGCCTGCCCCGGGCTCCTGGAGACGCTCGGGGCCCTTCGAACCATCCCGCCTGCACAGCTGCAGGAGGAGGTCTTCATGTCCCAGGTGTGTGCCCCTGCCCGCCCTCCCGGTGCCCGGCCCCTGCTGCACCATTGGGGAAACTGAGCCCCAGCACAGGAAGTCAGAATGTGGACCCCTCTCGGTTCCTGTCCCGAGAGCAGCAGTGAGCAAACCCCAGGCCTCAAGTGACTTTCGATGGCCCCCTAGCCAGGCTGTCAGGGCCTCAGCCCTCAGCCACTTCCTGGGTTTGTGTGCTGCCCGCCCCGTGGGGACTTCACGGTTTCCTGCCCCCGCCCCCACCCCCAGGCAGGGCAAACTCAACAGCAACTGCCCCCTCCCAGGTGCACAGCGTGGCCCTGTCCGAGCAGGACCTGCAGCGGGAGATCAGGACCCAGCTGGCACAGCTTCCCGCATCGGCGTCCGGGCCACCACCGCGGCCCCAGGCCCGCCTGCCCGGGGCACAGGCCATCTTTGAGGCCCAGCAGCTGGCTGGGGTTCAGGGAAGCGCCAAACCTGAGACACCCCTCATCGTGGTGCAGCCCCCTGAGGAGCCCAAGCGCAAGCCTCAGACCCGTGGCAAGACTTTCCATGGGTTGCTGACTCGGGCCCGGGGTCCCCCGCTCCAGGGCCCCCCCAGGTCTCATCGAGGCTCCACCTCCTTCCTGGACACCCGATTCTGAGGACACTGCACTCAGTGCGCCCAGGTCTCAATCGCCTGAACGATGGACACGAGCCCTGAAAACGGATGCCACGCTTGAAGGCCCCGATCTGGGGGCTCAGCTTCCTTCCTGTGGACTGTGGCATGAACATTGTCGGGGGCCGGGGGCCCTGACCCACATCAGCCCACAAAGCTGTCCTGGCACCTGGGCCCCTGCGAACATCGCAGCTGGTGCTGATAGCGTGTGGGGCTAAGGCCGCAGGCTGGACTTGGGGACCCCAAAGGGCTTCCTGGAATAAAGTCTGACTGTGCAGAAGCCTGGATGGAGTTGAATTAAATGCCCTAGACAGGATGACCCTGGCCCTCACTCCGTTGCTGCCTCTCCCCAAGTCCTAGCTCCCGTAATCTGCCTAGGGGCACGCCCGGCTGCCCGCTGGCTGCCAAGAAGGTGTTTACCAACATCAGGAGCCCATGTGAGCCCTGGCCCAGCCTCTTGGGAGCAGGTAGGCTCCCACATCGGTGGGAGGAGGGCCCCCACAGGGAGGCTGGCCGAGGAGTGGGGCTCTAGTCCCTATTTTGCCCTTCCCCTGGGCTGGTTCAGGACCCCGGGGGTCGGGATGGGGAGGGCCTCTAACCCAAGTCTGCCCCCCACCCATGGTCCTGGTTCCGGCCTCAGAGAGAACCAGGCAGACAAAGACCCAGTGTGCCCGGGACAAAGGAGAAAGGTCCCTCCGGCCCTGCCTCCTCCCGCGCCAGCAGCACCCCTCAGGACTGCCTCCATGGAAACCTCCTACACTTGCTAATTGCTCCCGTGGGTGCCTGGGGTGCCTGGGCCCCGCGCCATCGCCAGGACAACAGGGCTGGTCCCAGCGCAGCTGGCCTCCCCGCTGTGCCCGTCCTGGGTGCTCGTCTCCCTGGCAGGATGGAGGGTGGGTGGCTAGGCAGGGTGGGAGCCGCTGAATGGTGCCGTGTTTGGTCAGCAGTCCCAGTGGTCGAGCTGGAACACAGGCCCGGCCACACTTCAGAACCCAAGTCCAGAAGCTTCTCGTGCCCGGCCCACAGGTTGTAGGCTGCCTGTGTTTATGTGGGGCTCGCTCTGCCGACCATCCCACCCCCGAAGCCTGGAGGAGGGCATCGCAGGGCTCAGCCCCAGCTCTGCCATTTCCCTGGGGAAACTGAGGCTCAGAAAGGGGGCAAACTTGGCCAAGATCTTGCCGCCATGGCCAAGCCAAGATTGCCCCTGCCCCCACCACCCATCCATAGCTATGAACCTTCGCTCTCTGCTCAGCACCCAGCCTGGTCTGCCGGTCTGGGGTTGCCTTTCTCCTGCCCATGCACTCCCTCAGCCCTCGTCCCCCCAGTGGGAGGCAGCAGCTGGGGACCTGTGGCGGGGTAGAGAGCTTCCCAAGCCCTCCCCTTCTCTTCCTCGCTGCACAAAGGCACCTGCAGGTCACAGAATCTTTTTTCAGACCAGCCGCCTCCAGGCACCCTCTCTCTGCAAGTGGTGTTGCTAACCTCTTCAGAGAAAGGGGGGTAGTGCTCAGTGAGGGGGCGTGCCCAGCCCAAGATGATGCGGAGGGGCAGAGCCAGCCTGAGCGCAGACTCCTGTGCCTTCTAGACATTGCCTTGGCCCTTGAGTGGGGAGTCTAATGGAATCTCGGCACCACAGCAGGTGGGGGGCCTATAGCTGCATTCTACCTATCAACTCCCGCCCCCCATGGGCTCAGCTATTTTGCTGGAAGAATAGAGGTGCAGCGGCCTTGGCCCCAGCCCCAGAATCTGTCACAAGGCTGGGAGGGGAGCACGGTGGCAGTGGGTCCCCCTGAAGATAGGCCATGGGCAGAGGGTCTCCAGCTGAGGCTGAGCCAACACCTCGCTGCCCTCATGAGCATTTTCTGGGCAGCTCTCTGCAAGGCCATTATCAACGCATTGCACGAGGAGTGAGCTGGGGGTTCAGAGCAGAGGAGGACCAGCAGCTCCTACCACATCTCTGCACTGGGCAGGAAAAATGTCCTTCCTCCAACCACATACAGCCCTGGGGGGCAGAGGGACAGGACCACTCAGCGGGGCACCCTTGTGCAGTGAGCAACCTGCACAACTGTACTGTGCGACACTGGCAGCCCCAGTTCCTGATGATCTGCCTGCAAAGGACTCAGAGAAGACAAGTCATGCACTTGGGAGCCACCCAGCCTGTGGGGATTGGAGCTGAGATGACCCCACAGGTTAGGCTCCCCCCCCCCGCCCCCCCAGATATTCAGAATGGACTTTTTCCAAATGTATCACCTTGGCATAGGTAGCTAAGGTCGAGCGAAGCCCCACAGGTTTCACTACCTTAACTACCTCAATGTTTAATGATTACCCAGGTTTAGGGCCATCTGCAGAATAACCTTCTTTTGGAGACACCTATCTCATGGCAGGGCATCTGGTCTTTGTCCCAGAAGCCCCCAGGCGTCCCCCCTTCCTTGTCACGTGAGACCCCTCCTCCTCTTTGGTGCCCCAGGCCCTCATCCCGTTTACAGTTCAAGAATAAAAAGCTCTTGTTCTGCCCCATTACAGCCATGTAAATTCTCCATATGTGTGTAATTAAATTGGTTCTTTTTCTCCTACTAACCTGCCTGATACTAATTTGCTTAACCAGCATGAGAAGAACTAGAAGGGTGGGTAAAATTTCCCCAGCACCCCTACGACTTGTCGTTGGCCTGGGTCAGTCCTGGGCACGGGAGTGGTTGGGGGGGAGCAAAAAAGTGGAAGGGCAAATGGACCGGGCCTTGGCCTGAGGAGGGAGGGTCCATGGGCTCCATCTCACACTGCCACCCACCCCAGAGATCCCCACCCCCACCCCCACTGTCCCAGTTCTTCATTCCATCCCTACCCGACTCAGCTCACCTCTCCCCAGCTCGTGACCTCGGGCTTGCCCCCTCGGTGCTTTGAGACTTACTTTCCTCCTCTGTAACAGGCAGACGTGTAAGTGCCACCTCAGAGGATTCCGTGAGATCCTGAATACAAAACCCACCCCCGGCACCCAGGACGCGGGCGGGACGCGGGCAGCACCACCACTGAGCGCTCCCCTCTTGCCCGGCAGCCCCTGCCCGCCAGAGCCCAGGCGAAAGCTGGCATTGCCCTCCCCCCGAGGCGAGGACACGGAGTCCGGGCGGCTGCACAGATTGTGTTCGAAACACCAGGACCTAAATGGAGAGAGTTGCTTCCCTTAAAAGCCCCACGTCTCAAAACTGAGACTTAATGACAGTTTCGGCCTTCCCAGAAATGGAGTAATTCTTGTTGTGGCTGTTAAGAGATCTGGTTGGCTTTATTAGACAATTCGGGAGCTGGGCAGCCTCCCGCCCCCGGGGCTGCCAGGCTTCCCCAGAAAGAGGCTCTCCCAGCAGCTCGACAGGACTGTTCGCTCAGCACCAGTCAGGCGGCCCCAGCGACCAGGCCATCATCCACTCGCTTTTCTTGTCTCCTGCTGTCAGGGGGAAGGATGTGCTGTAGCGCCAGTTTCCTCCTTTCTGCTCCTTCTGCCTTTGAAAGCCTTTCAGCCCCTAGCTGCCCGCCTGGCTGCGGCCCGATGGGTGAATCATTGAATAAAGACAATGAGATCTTTACATTTGCTCAGTTGAATTTTGTTTTGTTTTGTCGCACGGTAAAGGCTTATTAGGGAAACGAGATGTCTGTGTAGACACGGTGGGCAGTCTTCAAGGGCAAGAGCTGCTGCTTTTTATTTTTTAGCACTTGCCAGGCGTCAAAGCTCAAGCTCATTGGTGACACCCGTGCCCCGCCCCTTCCCCCCCGCCAGTGGGGTGGCACTGGCACTCAGGTTACCCAGGCAGCAAAGAGAATGGATCTTCTGGAGGGTCCACGGCTCATCCCAGGGCCACGGGGGAAGCCGCTGTAGAGCTGGAGCTGGTGGGCCAAGCGGCTCTGGAGAGCCACATGGGGAATGTGGGCTAGGCTGGGCTGGAGGACCCTGAACCCCCGAACGAGGCCCTTCTCCCCTCTGAGTCCCTCCCGTGGTTGGGTCCTTACAGAATGCTCTGTATACAGGTGCAGAAGGGGCCCCCACAATTGTCATGGGCCCCTTGATCCCTCCCCCAGCCCTGGAGGCTCCTGGGGACTGAGTGAGGGGTGTCTCCAATACCTCCTTCCCCAAGGCAGTCAGGAAGATTGGAGGCATGAGGTGGAGGAGTTAAACAACAGCTTGCCTTTGCGGGGTGCGTGGTCCCGCAGCTTTGTGAGATGAGAAGGAACCCCATTTTGGGCAGGAGAAATGGAGCTTCAGACCAGAGTGGGGAGGTGCCAGGCTCTATCACCAGAGCTAGGCGTCTTCTCCAGGAAAGGGTCAGTTTTGGGGTTTCTTTCTTGGGGTGATTTAGTGACAGTGAGACAACTCTCTTAGGGTGTGGTTCTGTGGGTGTTTGGGTGGGTGCCCCTGGGTCTAAGAATTTTTGTCTTTGGGAGATTATGGGTATAACTGTGGGTGACCGGCTGCCCCAGGGCACGTTGGATGGAGTAGACACCCCCTTTCCTGTGCTCACACCCACTGGAACCCCTAGCGTGGTCACTCCCTTCCCTCTTGGCCTCCTGGGGGCGGAGGGTATCTCAGGGAACTACCCCTGTGGGGGCATCTTGCTGAGTGGCCACTACTCTCTCAGGACCAGGGAGGCGAGAAGGGGCCCCTCCTCTTGCACACCTGAGGAGGTGTGCAAGAACCCGGCTCCAACTTGGCTTCCTGGGGAGGTCGGCCTCAGGGCCGAGGGCTCTGGGCTGGGCGGGACAGCTGCCCGGGTGTGCTGGGGAGCTCAGCTCTGTCCAAGGGCCGGCTCCGCCTGAGCCCCAGCCGCTCTCCTGGCCACCCACCCTCAAGGGCGGGCCCCAGTACCAGCCTCTGCCGGCTCGGGTTCTCCCCTCCCCCCAACTCGCCCTTCCGCTCTTTCCATGTCTCCTCCATGGAGGGTCTGTCCCTGCCCCTGTGCCCACCTCCTCTTAGTTCCCAGGGCCAATGTCCAGCGCCGTCTGGGCGGCTCCGGCCCGGGGCTACCTGGCCCCCTGTTCCGACGCAGCGGTCTCTGGGCGCCCCCGTCCCCCGTCTGTCTGCCCTCCCCGACCCGCCCGGCGCCCGCCTCCGGCCCCCGGCCCGGCCCCCGCCCCAGGTCCCCCTCGCGCGCCCCAGGCGGGACCCCCTGGCGGGCCGCGGCGGCGGGCGGGAGGGGCGGGGGCGCCCGCGTGCAGGTCCCGCCCGCCCCGCCCACCCCGGCGCCCCGGGTCTCTATATAAAGCGGCGCGCCCAGCCCCAGGCCTGCCGCCGCCCAGCCGCCCGGTCCGCGCCGCCCGCCGCCAGCCGCCGCCAGGTACCCCGGCTCCTGCCCGCGCCCCGGGGAGAGCCAGGGAGGGGGGCTGCGGGGCCGGGCCGCGCGGCCGGGGGCCTTGAGCGCCCGCGCCCCAGAGGGACCCTCGACGCTCGCCCCGCGCCCCGCTGGGCGCCGCACGCCCCCGCCGGAGGGACTGTCAGGACCCCGCGTCGGCCCAGCGCTGGCTGCGCGAGCTCAGGGCGGCGGGACCCACGGGGGTCCCAGAGGCAGGAATCTCTCTGCACCTGCCTCCTTGGGGTGGGGGTGGGGCAACCCTGGCCGCCTCTGGCACGGACGCGCAGAGGCTCAGGCGTGGGGCCTCTCAGCCCAGAGGCTGCGTGGGGCTGTGGGTGTGACCTCCTCCTCTGTCCCTCTCCCTGTGTCTCTGCCATCAGCCTCTCGCCTCTCCACCTGTAAGATGGTGAGTTGCCTCGGGTCCCTCACTGCCCCCACCCCAGACCCAGCCTCTGGCCCCTGCCCTATCCCCAGACCCCAACCCCAGGCAGAGGGAGCATCCAGAGGGTGGTGGTTGGCACCCAGAAGCCTCGCCCCAGCAATTCCCTTGCACAGTTGAGACCATAGCCAGCTCACACCCGCTGGACTCCCCACACTGGCCCGGGGAGGTGGGCAGACTTGGGCCCCTTTCATTCATTCTGCAGCATTTATTGAGCACCTACTAGGTACCTACCACCGTCCTGCAGTTGGGGATATAGGAGTGAACCCACAAACTGGGCTTTCAGGAAGCTCGACTTTTAAGAAAGGGTCCCTGGACCCAAGGTTTGGCACTGGCGAGCCAGGACTCAAGCCCAGGTCTGAGGCCCAGACATCTCCTGGCCATAGCACACTGTCTCCCATTGACCAAAGTCCAACACCCCAGGGTGGGACAGGGCAAGCACCAGGCACCCACAGGCCCTCTGTGTCCCCACCTATTTTCCCACCAAGCCTCTGAGCCCCCTCGCCAGCCTGAGCAAGGGCAGGGTATGGGGGAGTCATCCAAAGAAAACCTCTCGGAAGTCAGAGTGTCTGAAAAGGACAGGTGCCTAGCACAGGGCTGGGCTCAAGACCCCTGGGGGCGGCAACAGAACAGATACACCCACAGATTTAGGTCTCAGCAGGACCCCACCTCGGTAGCTGGGTCACTGGCCCCAAGGAGAATGAGCAACCGGGGAGCGATGCTTGGTTCGTTTGTTTATTCTTCTGTCAACAAACATTAAGGGCAGCCACAGTGTGCCAGGCACTGTTTTAGCTGCCTGGGCTGCTCCAGTGAATGAAACAGGCAAACATCTTCACCCCTGTGAGTCAAAGTAGGGCAGACCTGGCACGGGGTGGGGTGGGGGCTGCAGGGGACCGTCATCCAGCCAGCTATACGCTGCCTTCTGCCTCCACCCCCAGAGCCCCCACCATTTACAAAGCACTGCCGCCTACGCGTGCCCGATGGCTGACAGGCCTTCACCCCCAGCCCACCCCGAACTCTCCTGGCTCCCGGGACGCCTGTCCAGAGCAGGAGGGGGGTAGCTTATACCCTTGGGTGACTTAACATGCCCCTTGCCCACCCTGCCCGAGACCCACCATTTCTGCCCCCTCAGCTCTCCCTGGATCCGCTGGGTCCCAAGCGGGACTGCCCCCTGGCCTCCAAGGAGGAAGAGGAGGGCCTGTGGGGAGGGGGCTCTGGCCTCCCTCCCACAGGCTACTTCCCTGGCTCCTGGTGCCACGACGTGGGCCTGGACTGCAGGGGCGCCCCGGAAGGGGCAGAGGCCCGGGCCTGGACTGTCTACTACTACAGCCTCCTGCAGAGCTGTCTGCAGCAAGCTGGCCTTCCGGAGACCCAGGACCGCAGCCAGGTGCCCCGCACAGGTGCCCGAGGGCTCCACGGAGGGGGGCCCTGTGGAGGGGGGAGGTGCCTAGCCCAGCCTGCTTCCCATCCCCATCAAGGCTGGCCCCTTCCCCCAGGCTCTGGCTGGGTCTGAAGCCAAGGATGCCAGGCCAGTCGACCTGTCCAGGCCGGTGTTGCTCCCAGGGCCATCTAGCACCAGTAAGGTCAGGGACCAAGGTCCTGTCCCCGTCCCTCCTCCGCAAGATCCACCTTGGCAATCCACGTCCTTCCATGGAGCTGAAGCTTCTAGAGAGATGTCTTGGAAGCTGCTGTGAAGGCAGCTGATCAGGAGGGCCTGAAGACTCCTCTGCTTCAGCTGTTTTATATGTCATGAGGCCACCAAAGATTTTGTGTCAGAGGGACACGGCTAGAAGACGGGAATGTCATGGCCTGGGTCCCAATGTACAGACTGGGAAACTGAGGTGCAGCAATGCCTCCCCGCGCTGCACTGGGACCAAGGGTCACAGAGAATCAGTGGCAGAGCCCAGGCCGGGCCACCCAGCCTCCAGGGCCGTAGGAGCAGCTGGAGGAGCAGGGAAGCAGCCCCTTGCCGCTCCAGCTTCCTCTCCCATAGGAAACCAGAAGCACTTGGAGACCCCAGGGTAGAGGGTGGGGATTGGAGGGATGGGGAAGGGCTCAATAGACAGCCAGGGGGCCCCCGGTGAACTGGGAAATGTTCTCTTTCCCGAGGCTGCCCTGGGGCGGAGGTGACCTTGTGCGTTCTGGGATCCCCCAGCACCTTTCTGTCTGTGCTGCTGGAGGGTGGGGTGCAGAGTCCGGGTGAGTGTGTCCCTAGGTTCCCTACCCCCTCCTACAGAAAGGTCAGTTCTGGCCTGGCCCGGCCACATCCCAAAATACCCGCTGACCCTGGCATCTGCCTGAATTTCGCTGGCCCAGCTGCCATGCTCTCAGTGGGGGTGGGTCCTGGGAGCAGCTGCCCCCACCACACAGGATGCAGGCTGGCAGTAGAGGGCAGGGACAATATGCCTTCCTGGCCAGCAGCCCTCCTCCCTCTGCCCACAGGAAACATGCTCCTTTGCCTGTCCCCTGCCTGGTTGACCAAGGTGCCAGCACCCGGGCGACCAGGGGAGGCGGCCCTGCTGGTCTCCAAGGCCGTGAGCTTCCACCCGGGGGGCCTGACGTTTCTGGATGATTTTGATCCCCCACGCTGTGCCACCTATTTCCTGGCGGGGCTGGGGCTGGGGCCTGGCTGGGGTCGAGAGGCCGCAGAGCTAGCCCGAGACCTGACCTGCCCCACCGGAGCCTCAGCCGAGCTGGCCCAGCTGCTGGAGGACCGGCTGCTGACAAGGCAACTGCTGGCCAAGCAGGGTGGTGTGGCAGTGCCAGCTACCTTGGCTTTCATCTACAAGCCGCCAGCACTGCTGCAGGGAGGGGATGCCAGCCCAGCGCTCCGGGTGGTGCAGCTGAATGGCAAAGAGGGCCAGGAGACCCTGGTGAAGGAGGAAGTGAGGGTCTTTCTGCACTCCCAGGCCCTGGGGGATGCCCTGCAGGTAACAGGCCCCTGATGCCCAGGTCTTGCTGACGCCAGCTGGAGGGGACCAATGGATGGTTACCAAGTCCCACTGGGAGGCTGTCCCCAACTTTTAGCTGTTGCCCCACCTTTCTGGCAATCCTCTGCCCTGGTTCCTCATGGGTTCCTAGGTGTATGCACCCCACCCTTCAGGTACAGGGGGTGGTGAGGACTCCCCCTACCCCTTCCTGCTGCAGGTGGCTGTGAAGCCCAGTGGCTGGCGCTGGCGGGGGCGGCAGGCATTGCGCCTGCATCCTCGGGCAGAGCTGGGCCCAGTGGTGGACACAGTGCTGACCTTGCTGGAAAAACTGGAGGAGGAGGAGAGTGTCCTGGTGGAGGCTGTGTGCCCACCTGCCCGGCTGCCCTTCCCAGGTGAGAGCCGCCTGAGCTGGCCTGGGGCGGAAGCTGGGCTCCGCCCCCTGTGCTGGGCTTAGGTCTCACCATCTCCCCCAGGCAGCCCCCCGCCAGGCCCCGAGCTGGCGGTGCGGATCTGTGCGGTAGTGTGTCGAACACAGTGCGACAGGCCCCTGCTGAGCAAGGTGGGTGCGGCCCAGGTTCAGGTAGTGACTCTGCTGCCACACCCCAGCCCGGCCTCACCGACCTGAAGAGGCCCCTGGACAGAAAGAGGACGACATCTTTGGGGGGGAGGGGATCTTGGTTGCTTCTGGAGGGATTCCTGGGCCCAATACTTTCCCTCCCTCCCCAATCCTGCTGGCACCCCTCCCGCTTCAGGAGCCTGCCTGGCGGCCTCAGAGCTGAACCCCCTTCCCAGAGAGCTCTTGCCCACAGAACGGCCAACCAAGGTCCTGAGACCCACCCAGGCCTGGAGCTCTTTAGGGGCCTCCAAGCTGGGGAGCTCAGGGAGGCTTGGGGACCCTCCTGAGTATATCGCTCTGGGCCAAGATGAGAGGTGGACCCTTCACCCTGCTCGGCGCTGGGGCACAACAGGGCGGCACCTGCTGCCAGAGTTCCGGGAGCTCTGCTGGGAGCCCTGGGGAGCAGGGCAGCCCAAGCAGTACCCCCCCCCAAGGGAGTAGGGACCAGGTGGGCAGAGCAGGGGAGAGCTGCTTGTGCCGTGTAAGTCACCGTGGGGCATGGGGCTCCCGAGTGTCGCCCCCCTGAGTCCTGGCAGGGGCAGGGGTGTGGGGCAGCTGAGGGGAGCTCCTCCCGGGCTGGTCCCGAGTCGCGCCCTGCCCAGGTGGTGTGCAGCGTGGGCCGCGGGGACCAGCCTCTGCGGCACCGGACCTCCCTGCCGCGCACGCTGGAGGCGGCCCTGGCCCAGTGCGGCCTGGGGGAGGCTGCGCAGGTGGCGGCCGTGCGAGGGCGCGTCAAGGCGGCGGCCGAGGCCGCGCTGGCCGCCGTGCTGAGCCTGGAGGCCGGTCTGAGCGCGGAGCAGCGCGGAGGGCCCCGGGCCCGCACCGACGTCGTGGGTGAGTGCGGGCGGCCCGGGCCGGGGGCGCGGGGCCGAGGCCGAGGGGGGCGCGCACTGAGCCCGCGCCCCGCGCCCCGCGCCCGGCCAGGCGTGGACTTCGCGCTGACGGCGGCCGGCCGCTCGCTGGTGCCCGTGGCCCTGGGGCTCAACTGCGGCCTGTGCCTGGAGGTGTGCGGCGCGCTCGAGGGGCTGTGGGCCGCGCCGCGCCGGGGGCCGGCCGAGGAGGCTGCGGCCGCGCCGCTCGTGGAGACGATGCTCCGGCGCTCGGCGCGCCGCCTCATGGAGGGCAAGCGGCTGCTGCTGGTCGGCGCGGGCGGCGTCAGCAAGAAGTTCGTGTGGGAGGCGGCCCGCGACTACGGGCTCCAGGTGCGCGGCCCGCGCGGCGGGCGGGGCCTGGGCGGGGGGCGGGGGGGCACCCCTGGGCGTGCGGCCCTGCGAGGCTCTGGAGCCCCGACCAAGAGGCGTGTCTGCGCCCGGCCCAGGTTGGAGGGGTGAACTTTTTAGCCCCTAACCGAATTCTGTCCAGCGCCCCGGGAGAGCACCGTGCCCCCCAGGAGAAGAGGAAGCCGGGGTCGATGGCCGGGAGGGGCCAGGCGGGCCTGCAGGGTTAGCGCCAGAACCCCGCTTGAATGCCAGGCTCGGGACCCTAAAGGGCATGCCTTTAGGTTGAATTCCTGAGCTCCAGAGGAGGGTGCTGGGGAGCAGCTGACAGACCCTGAGGCAAGTTCACAGGGGGTAGGGGGTGCTCAGGGTTCAGAATCTGCAGCCTCAGGGGCAGCCTAGACTTCTTAGCCCTACTGAACAGCTCCAGAATGGAGCCCGAATGTCTCGGCCCTTCCTGGCCCCAGCCTACCACAGGGACCTCTTCACCACCCCCCCACCCCCGCAGCACACACCCCTGTCTCCTGTCCCTGCCGGCCACACCGTGTGCCCCACTGTACCCTCCACCGAAGGTCTCCACTCCTGCTGAGTGTTACAGTGCACCCCCTCTTTAGGGGCTGCCTCTGCCCTGGGTACCAGCCGTGACTGTGTACCCCGAGCATGCAGGGAGCGCAGGGTCTCACTGGATTCCTCTGTGACACCATCCCTCACCTCCCAGCCCCCGCGTCAGAACAAGTCAGGCGAATGACAAACAAGAGCCCAAGCCCCAGGACACCAGCCCTCCTGTCTGGAGCCCCAGCCCTGGTGGTTTCCGGGCCAGAGTGAGGCTGTAGGCCTGTCACCGGCCCCCACAACTCCCTGCTCCAGGCCCTGCCCCCACGTTCACACTCTCCCTCCTGCAGCATCTTTCTTCTGACTGACCCTTATCAGCCTTCAGCTCAGGCACTGCCTCCTCTGGGAAGCCGGCCCGCCCTGGGGCTGGGTGACGTGGCCCCACTTCTGCACCTTCCAGTTATTCAGTCACCAGCAAATGTCATTCCAGCACCCAGTGGTTAACCCGGCTCTCCCGAAGGCCGAGACCACGTCCCTCTCTCCCCAGCACCCCTGCACTGACCTTATTGTGTTGTCCTCTGGTTTTCGCAGCTACACTTGGTAGAGTCGAACCCCAACCACTTTGCATCCCAGCTGGTGCAAAGCTTCATCCACTTCGACGTGACAGAGCACCGGAAGGATGAGGAGAATGCTCGGCTGCTGGCGGAGCTTGTGCGGGCCCGTGGCCTGCAGCTCGACGGCTGCTTTTCCTACTGGGACGACTGCCTGGTGCTCACCGCCTTGCTCTGCCAGGAGCTAGGGCTGCCCTGCAGCCCCCCGGCTGCCATGCGCCTGGCCAAGCAAAAGAGCCGCACTCAGTTGCACCTGCTACGCCACCACGGCCCGCCCTGGCCTGCGCCCTCCCTCCACGCCGTGCCCTGCTGCCCGCTGGAGAGTGAGGCTGATGTGGAAAGGGCTGTCCATCAGGTGCCCCTGCCGGGAGTCATGAAGCTGGAGTTCGGGGCGGGCGCGGTGGGTGTGCGGCTGGTGGAGGATGCACCGCAGTGCCTCGAGCACTTTTCCCGGATTGCCCATGACCTGCAGGGTGAGGCTGACCACCCGGGCATTGGGCTGGGCTGGGGCAATGCCATGCTGCTGATGGAGTTCGTGGAGGGCACCGAGCACGATGTGGACCTGGTGTTGTTTGGCGGGCGACTGCTGGCTGCCTTCGTCTCGGACAACGGCCCCACCCGGCTGCCCGGTTTCACTGAGACGGCAGCCTGCATGCCCACTGGGCTGGCACCGGAGCAGGAGGCACAGCTGGTGCAGGCAGCCTTCCGCTGCTGCCTGGGCTGTGGGCTGCTGGATGGGGTCTTTAATGTGGAGCTCAAGCTGACCGGGGCTGGGCCGAAGCTCATCGAGATCAACCCCCGTATGGGTGGCTTCTACCTGCGTGACTGGATCCTGGAGCTGTATGGGGTAGACCTGCTGCTGGCTGCTGCCATGGTGGCCTGCGGCCTGCAGCCGGCCCTGCCTGCCCACCCCCGCGCCCGGGGGCACCTGGTGGGTGTCATGTGCCTGGTGTCCCAGCACCTGCAGGCGCTGAGTTCCACCGCCAGCCGTGAGACCCTGCAAGCGCTTCATGACCGGGGCCTGCTGCGCCTCAATCTGCTGGAGGAGGCCCTGGTGCCTGGCGAATATGAGGAACCCTACTGCAGTGTGGCCTGTGCCGGGCCCAGCCCAGCAGAAGCCCAGCTCCGCTTGCTGGGCCTCTGCCAGGGCCTGGGCATCGACGGGCCCCACTACCCTGTGGCCCACTTCCTGTCCCACTTTAAATAGCACTGGGGCCTAGGGGCAGGGCAAAGGGCGGGAGTGGGCACAGTGGTGCCTTTCGCTCCCTGATGCTCTCCCTGCCTCTCTCCCCTTGGCCCTGCCCCAGCCCCTTCCCAGCCTGCTCCAAGGCCTCACGACTGATCCAGAGCAGCAGGGCCATTTTGACCCCTAAGTCTCCTGGACTTGTGGGCCACAGAAGAAAGTATCTGGGGTTGCTGGGCGCACTTGCCCTTCCAAACCCCACCCATCCCAGAACAGCCCCAGGACCGCAGACCCCCCCCCCCCACACACTCATCCCCTGAATTTTCAGGGAGGTGGGAGCAGGCTCCAACCCAGCCCATTCTCTCACCCCTCTGGATGTGCCTCTCTCCCTGCCATCTACAGGAGGAGAGAACATGGCTGGCCGTTGGCCTTGAACAAATCCCTACCTAACTTGAGACTAAACCCCTTGTATTCTTACTCTCATTTAACAAATTTCAGCCTAGTTCAAGAGCCCACTGGCGACTTCTGGCAGTGCCCCTCCTGCCTCATTTGACCTGAGCAGCAGAAGCAGGGGATCTGGGGTCATCGGCAGACACTGTTGCCCCATTCTGCAGACGAGGAGACTGGCTCAGAGAGGGAAAACAGCCACTTCATGGTCATATCCCAGGGGCCAGAGGGCTGAGGCACAGAGGCAAGGTCCAGGTTTCGGCTCTTGCTAAGTCTTACATGCCTGCTCAGCTTCTAGGCCCTCTCATCTCCCTGCCCTCACTCACGTGGTCCTGAGCCTTATGAACCTTCTTTCCCATGCACCACCAAGCTTCAGAGCTGCAGCCTCTGGCCCACTAACTAGCATTGGCAGAGCAGAGTCTACGTCCCAGGTTCAGGGGAGGGTGCTTTCGGAACCCTTCCTCTGAACAGCACAGGGGCTGTGGCCAGCTCCATGAGCACCCCACTCCAAATAAAGGCTTATGAACTAGTGAAATGTCTGGAGTCTGGATGGATTCTTGTGACTTGCCCCTCAGGCTCACGTGAATGGGGGTGGGGGTGGGGAAGGGAGGAGGGAGAAGTGACCAGGGGAAACCTGCAGCCCCTGGAGCTGAGGGTAAACTGCTGCGCCGCTCAGAACATGGGCTCGCCTTTGGCAGGCATCTGCAGAGGCTATCCCACCAGCACCAAACCTGTGGGTCTCCTTTGGTGAAATTCCCACCAGAGGGCCAAGTCCAGTTAAGTTCACAGCAAGCCTCCTCCTGCCAACTGGATGCACATCCAGACAGCTGCCAACAATCAGAATTCACTACCAAGGCTTGGTCAGGCCCAAATTCACTTCCCCCATCCCCGGGCCCCATTCAACAAGAACCAATGCCCATATCTAAAGTCACAGAGCAGGGGCCTCCCTGGTGGTACAAGGGGATAAGTCTCAGCACTATGAAGCTATTGGCAGCCACTGCAGTACGAGTTCTATCCCCAGCCAGGGAGGTGACCCACATGGCACAGCAAGTCTCCTGTCTTGCCCGCTGCTCCCCTCAGCAGTGTGTTTCAGCCAATCCACCTGCTCTGTTCCCCACTCTCTCTGGTGAATCCTCTCACCCCCACACCCCAGTTCTTGTTTACATAAATAAATCTTAAAAAAAATAAAGTCACAGAGCAAATTTGGTGTGTTCATTCATTCTCTTCAGGACATTTTATTAAGCACGTTATAGGGTAAATGAAGCGAATCGGGCTTTTTCACACCCCACCACCTCTAGCCTCTACAGCTACCACCTGCGGCCTTGGCCTCCTAGGTTGTGTAGATGCCTGGAGCTGAGAGGCGCATGATTATGGACACCTGGTCCCAGAGAGCAGGGCCTGTGCAGAGCGCCTTGAGGGGAGGGACAAAGGGTGGAGTCTACGAGCCAACACATACCGAGGGAGAAAGCCAGAGAGAGGTGAGAGAAGGAGTCTGCCTGCTCAGCCCCCTGTCCGGTCTCCCAGCCTGGTGTGCCTGTGTGCCTGTGTACCTGGTTTTCTGAGTCAGAGAATCCCGTGGCCGCAGTTCCCCAAGCACTAGGTCTGGCTTTGGGAGTGCAGCCTTGAACACAGTGGAGGAATCGGTTCCTGGTTTGTTGATTTGTTGCTAACAGTGATGGATATAATTTTGCACTGACATTAGAGGCCTGTAAAATCCTGAGGGCTCCAAACTCTTTATCCAGATGCCTGAATCAAAAGTGAACCTCCCTGCTGGCCTGCTTGCCCACTGCACAACTATTTTGTATCAACCAGCCAAATTGCTCAATTTTCTCAAATTGACAAAGGAGCCAACTCCAGCACCAGCCTCTATCAATGCATCCACGAGACCCACTCTTTCTGGCTCAGAATGTAGCAGCAAGACACAGGAGGGAGCTGAGCATGGGACTTTGACCTGCAGGGTCCTGGACGTGAAGTGCGTTAGGAAGACCCTGATGCAGCCACTTTCCTTTCAGAGAAGAACAGAGATGCGATCTTCCTCCTCCACTCAGCCAGCCTGACAGCGCCCGGTTCCAACAAGGGGAGGAATTCAATTTGCACGCACACACCAAGCACTGCGGAGTCTGCCGATCCAAACTCAAGCTCTCCCTAGAGCCAAGATGGGCGCATTCCAGGCCGTCCCTAGTCAATGCCGCCCGGAGGTGGCTGTGTTGGGACGACCGAGGGTCCGGCCGAGAGGATTTCAAAGTTTGGCTCCCCGACACTTTGGAACTACAACTCCCAGGAGGCCTTGCGGCGGACGCCATCTTTTCTCTCCATCGGACAAATGGGCTTGAGGGTGGGAGCGCACAGCCTCTTGCGTCATCGGCGCGCGGCGGTCGGGGGATGATAGCGTTCGAACCCGATCCTGGGCTGCCAGTCAGAGTGCCTGGTACGGGCCGAGTGGCCCGCGGGCCGGCGCCGCTATGGCGGCGGTGTTTGACCTGGACCTGGAGACGGAGGAAGGCAGCGAGGGAGAGGGCGAGCCAGATTTCAGCCCCTCGGTGAGTGGTTCCCATCACCCAGGCGCGCCTCAGACCCGGGTCTTTCTCAGATCCCGGCCTCTGTTCCAAGCTCTGACCCCGCTCCCGCCCCGACCTGTCGTCCAGACCCCCAGCTCTTCTCTGCGTCTCCCCCTGCTGTCCTCGGCCTCCCCTCCACTGCCCCCGACCCGCCGCCTGCCACCTCCCCTTCCTGACCCCCCTCCTCTCTGGGCCGAGCAGTCCTGCCTGGGGGGGAGGTATCCTGGCACCTCCCTTGGCGCTTACCCCTCGGTTTCTCACAGGACGTGTGTCCCCTTGCCGAGTGGAGGGCGGCTGGCCTGGAGTGAGTGAGGGCGCCGCTGGGGGAGGAGGGAGAGGACTGGGGAGGGGACCTGGGGGGTCTGGAGCCTGTCCCTTAACGTCTTGTATCCGTAGGGCTGGGGGACACTATGAGGAGGTGGAGCTGACGGAAAACAGTGTGAACCTGGGCCCGGAGCGCATTGGGCCTCACTGCTTTGAGCTGCTGCGTGTGCTGGGCAAAGGCGGCTATGGCAAGGTACGGCCTTCCTGCCTCGCAGGGCTGCCTCCCTGCTCACTCCCCTCCTGTCTCACCAGGCTGCTGCCGGGCTCACCCACCAATGCACTCGGGACCCATTAGACTTGTGAATCAGCAAAACTCCCGCCAGCACCCAGAGGAGGGAAGGGCATGTCCTCTCAGAATCGGACCTGAGATCTTTACAGCCCCACCCTTGGGTGGGCCTAGGCCTCTTGGTCCCCAGGACAGAGCTTCAGGGTGGGGCTGTTTGAAGATGGGATGTGGAGAGGGAAGCTGATCCTGTCTCCCCTGCCCTACAGGTGTTCCAGGTTCGAAAGGTGCAGGGCACCAACTCAGGCAAGATATATGCCATGAAAGTGCTGAGGAAGGTGAGTCAAACAGTCAGTCAACACACCCTTCCCCATGGCTGCCGTTCCCCAAGCACTAGGCCTTGCTTTGCGAGTGCAGCCGTGAACATGGCGGAGGAGATGGTCCCTGTTTTTGGTTTGCTGATTTGTTCCTAATGGTGATGGATATAATTTTGCACCAATTCCCAGCCAGGGGAAGTTTTGCCTCCCTGGGGACATTTGACTGTGTGTGCAGATGTTGTCCAGCCAAGACTAGAGGGGGTACTGCTGCCATCCAGTGGCATTCAGATGCTGCTAACCACCCTCAGTGCACAGGATAGTACCCCCGACAAAGAATTATCTGGCTCCAGATGTCACTGGTGCCGAGGTTGAGGAGCACTTGGGAAAGAATGTTACTTAGAGCAGTGGAATTATGAAGTACAGTGGAGGGAGGAGCATAGCAGAAGGTCTTGGTGGGAGGTCTGAGGTAGCCCTCGGTGCCCACTTTCTAACTGACCCCCCTTTCCAGGCCAAAATTGTGCGCAATGCCAAGGACACAGCACACACTCAGGCTGAGCGGAACATTCTTGAGTCAGTGAAGCATCCCTTCATTGTGGAACTGGCCTATGCCTTCCAGACTGGTGGCAAACTCTACCTCATCCTTGAGTGCCTCAGTGGTATGAGTGGGGGCCCAGCCAGGGTGGGGGGCTACGGCTGGGACCAACATAGGAAACACAGTGGGGGAAGAGATGGAGAACAGCTAGGGGGCCCCACATCCATCTGTCTGTCCCTTTAGTCACTTGTTCATTCACTCACTCCATTCATTCATTCATTCATTCAGCAAATGTTTTTCTAGTGCCTATTGTGTCCCTCACCTGCGTTGGGGGTGCATGGGAATGGTGGGCATTGTACAGCAGGCCCTAGGGCTGTTGGTCCATTCCCGCTGCCTTCGTGTTCCCTGCGTCGCCTGCGCGCCCTGCATTCAGTCAGGTCCAAGTTCACTTGGTTGTTCTCTACCTCGTCCTCCCTCCTCCCCACACTCTCCCTGGAGAGTGGGAGGCGCATTTGTTTCTTAACTGACTTGAGGGCCCGAGTCACCCTCTTCCTGCTCTCTCTTCCACTGGCTTTCAGGGCCTGGGTTTGACCCCACACTCCAGTCTCTAACTGCCCAGAAAAGCCTGGCTCCGCCCCACCCCCAGGAGGCACGCTTTCCCACCTGCCCCCGCCACGCACAAGCTCTGTGAGCTTCATTCCTACGCGCTCCATCTCCACATCCCGCTCCCCAGACTTCCTCTGTCTCCTCATGTTTGGCCTCCTCATTCTCCTCCGTGAGACTTCTCGGGTTCAAGTCTTGGCGCTGTTGCCTCAGTCTGGCTACTAGAGCAGCGATGTGCATGTATGTCTCCCCCTCAGACTGAGCACCTGAGGGCAATGGCTGGGTCTCTTCATCTCTGTCCCCAGCTTCACCCAGCACAGGGCCAGGCACCGAGTAGGCGTCCGTAGATGTTTGCTGAATTGAATTGAACCCCCACGGCAGCTCTGTGAGGCAGGTAGGGCGGGAAACGCCAGCCCCACTCTCCCCGAGGAGAAACCGAGACTCAGAGCAGAGGAGCCGGGGCCGCACACGGCTGCTGACGTGTTTGTGTCGCAGGCGGCGAGCTCTTCACACACCTGGAGCGAGAGGGCATCTTCCTGGAAGACACCGCCTGGTGGGTGTCACCTGCGGCCTCTCGCCTGAAGGACTCTGGGGATTCTGCCCCCTGGCCTGGCCCCATCCTGGCCTTCATCCTGTCCTGTCTCCGCAGTTTCTACCTGGCAGAGATCACACTGGCCCTGGGCCACCTCCACTCTCAAGGCATCATCTACCGGGACCTCAAGCCTGAGAACATCATGCTTAATAGCCAGGGTGCGTTGGGGAGGGGGCGGGCTGAGGAGCGCACTGGCTGGCCAGGCCCTGACCACCCCTCCATCTTCAGGCCATATCAAGTTGACTGACTTCGGACTCTGCAAGGAGTCCATTCACGAGGGCGCCGTCACCCACACCTTCTGTGGCACCATTGAGTACATGTAAGTGACGGCCGCTGGCCTGGGGCTCAGAAGGACAGGCAGGGAGGGCCCGGCCTGACTGCCGGTCCCCCCGGCCCCCAGGGCCCCTGAGATTCTGGTGCGCAGTGGCCACAACAGGGCAGTGGACTGGTGGAGCCTGGGAGCCCTGATGTATGACATGCTCACTGGATCGGCAAGTCCCACGTCCCGGGACGGGAGTGGGGGGGACTGCGGGTTGAGGCGGGAGATCCCCTTGGGCAGGTGAGAGCTGGTGGGAAGCCCATAAGTCCCCCCTCACCCTCGGCCTTCTCCAGCCTCCCTTCACTGCAGAGAACCGGAAGAAAACCATGGACAAGATCATCAAAGGGAAGCTGGCACTGCCCCCCTACCTCACCCCAGATGCCCGTGACCTCATCAAAAAGGTGGGTTCCCTCCTGCCTGTACTCCTGCCCCCCATCTCTCCTCTCGGGGGCTGTGGGGAGCTAGAGCCACCCTTCCTGTGCAGTGAGCCTGTGGGGTGGAGGAGCAACAGCTTTGGGGTTCACAGAGCTGAGCGTCTGTTCTGATGCAGACCCACTGCCCCCGCCCTAAAACAGCTCACCCCCATCACGAGCTGGCTGCTCTTCCATCAAAATAGACTGGGGGGGGGGCACACTGCCAGTGGGGAGGCGCCCTTCCAGACATGGAGTTGGAAGTGCCCTGGCACCTTGGTAAGCTCCAGGGGGGAGGGTCAAGCCAAACCTTGAAAGTCTGAGTCAGTAGGTGAAGGCCACACTCCAGAGGCAGCCCCCCACCAGCCTCTGGGACGTAGGCATGGTCCTCACCCTCCGCCCTCATCCTACAGTTTCTGAAACGAAACCCCAGCCAACGGATGGGGGGTGGCCCAGGGGATGCCGCCGATGTGCAGGTGCGTCTGGGGCCACCACAAGGGTTGGGTTGAGGCCCCCAGGGTGCAGGGCCAGAGGGCAGACTGCCTCTTGGAGGGTGAACTGTGGACCTTTTGGGTTATGCCACCCGCAGAGGCACCCCTTTTTCCGGCACGTTAATTGGGACGACCTCCTGGCCCGTCGTGTGGACCCCCCGTTCAGGCCCTGTCTGGTGAGTGGGGGTCTCCTGGGCACGGGGGCAGTGGGGGCGGCCCCTGTCCTGGGCACCCCCTGACCCTCCCCACCCCCTGCGTCCACCCACAGCAGTCAGAGGAAGACGTGAGCCAGTTTGATGCCCGCTTCACCCGGCAGACGCCAGTGGACAGTCCCGACGACACGGCCCTGAGTGAGAGCGCCAACCAGGCCTTCCTGGTGAGGCTCCGGGGCCTGGGGGTCGCTGGCGGGGCTGGCACGGGGGAGGAGGGCACTGAGTTCGCTTGGCCGCCTCTGCCCCCAGGGCTTCACGTATGTGGCGCCCTCCGTCCTGGACAGCATCAAGGAGGGCTTCTCTTTCCAGCCCAAGCTGCGCTCCCCGAGGCGTCTCAACAGCAGCCCGCGGACCCCCATCAGGTACTGCAGGGGCAGGTCTCTGGGGGCCCGCGCACACTCCCAGCTTGCCTAGCGTGGGCCCCTTTCTCTGCCACGGGGGCCTCTTGTGGGGAAGCTGCTTGGAAGGGCACTGGTGGGCCTCACATCCTGTGCCCCTGCGGAGGGGAAGTCAGCCCCTGCTTCCCCCCAGCCCCCGGCCCGTGCAGTAGCTGACTCCACCTCGGTTTCCCCTGCAGTCCCCTGAAGTTCTCACCCTTCGAGGGGTTCCGGCCCAGCCCCGGCCCACCGGAGCCCATGGAGCCCACTCTACCTTTGCCACCGCCGCCACCACCGCTACCCCCCTCGAGCACTGCCCCCCTCCCCATCCGTCCCCCCTCAGGAACCAAGAAGTCCAAGAGGGGCCGGGGGCGCTCCGGGCACTAGGACTGGGGAGCACGAGGTGACTGTTGAGACTCCGCCCCGTGAGGGCAGTGGACCTGGGGGTGTCTGGGGAACAGGAACGAGTGTGAGTGTGTTTTCCCATCAGAGTGGCTGCGCCCCTGAATCGTGGCTCGGAGGGCTGCAGGCTCCGGCTGCCAGTGGGGGTCCTGCGGCCCACTGTCCCCCGGTCAGGCCTGCCCTTGGAGAATTAAAGGATTGAATCATGGTGCTGACCTGGCTCTTCCCAAGGACCTGAGGTGGGCGTGGGGGGCTCGCGCCAGGAGCCGCTGCGCAGGGCTGGGCGGGGTCACCACAGGACAGCAAGACCACTAGCTGGAGGGTTTATTTCCGATGGCCGCCCGATGGCTCCAGGGACAGGTGGGCTGGCTGGGGGCGGTGGGGCTGTCCAGGTGTGGGGAAGGATCTAGTGGTAAAGTGACAGTCTGAGCACTCCAGGTGGGGGTGATGGGCCCTGGGGTGCTTGTGTCATGTCATGGCCGCAAAGAGGCCCAGGCGGTGACAGGGGTGTGACCCCAGGTCTGGGGTCTGTGACCCCTAAAGTGCTGTGACATGGAGTTCCTGGCCCCCCGCTACCCCCGCACTGTCGTCCCAGGCTGCGCTGCCGGCAAATGCGTGCAGGTCGCTCAGCAGGGCCTCGGCACTGCCTCTCGAGCCCTCGGGCCCCTGCGCGCCAAGGCCCAGGCTCTCTTCAGCAGCCGCCTCGTGCGCTTCCTCAGCTGACTCTGTAAGCTCCACCCTCGGGCTGGGCCCGTCTTTGTACGGCTGCTCCTCCTCCCCGCCTTCGGCCTCCTTCAGGCCACCATCCAGGTTGTAGTCTTCCAGGTCCTCATCTTCCTGACATTCGGGGTCCTGGTCTGGTGGGTCCAGCTCAGCCCGAGCCTGGAGCCACCGGCCTGGCGGGCTGGCCCAGAACAGGCGGCAGGTGCGGCCCCACAGTGCGGCGCCCAGGCGGGCCGGGTGGTAGTAGCCCCCCGAGTCTCGGCTGAGGCGGCGCCAGGCCAGCACCAGGCCAGCGACCAGCAGCAGGAGGAGCAGCAACAGGAGCACGACAGTGACCAAGCTGGAGTGCCCGCTGTCCTTGGCACTGCCACCTGAGCCCAGGACCCCGGGCAGGGTCAGCAGAGTCCCGAGCCCCAGGACGCAGGGCAGGTCCTGTGGGGAAACGGGCGGGGGTGTCACCTGGGCTGGGGCCCTCGGGTGCCTCTGGGGCATTATGGGGACAGTGAAACTGTAAAGCCCACGTCCTCGCTGACTCCACAAGGCCCTGCCCTGAGATCTGCCAACACTCGACTCCCCCTTCTTCCTACGGTACCTGAGAAGCTGCTAGAAGCAGCTCCTGCCAAGCCCTGTGTTGTGACTTTTGTCTGGGCAGCCTAGCCCCTGAGAGCCACGGGGTTTCCTGTGAGGTGTGAGGTGCCCTGATCTGGACACCGTCCTGCATGCATGCTGTGGCCCCGCCGCCCAGCCCTCGGTGCCAGAGTCTGCTTCCCTCTCCTGCCCTCCTTGCTCGGTAGGTAACTTCATGATGCTTGTGGGTCTCGTCTCCCCATGGGAATAAGCGGCGACAGGACGGGGATCATTTTGGCCCAAGCACCTAAGTCATTCTGGCAACAGCAGGTACTCCACAGAGCTGGCTGGCCGGGTCAAGGCTGCCCACCTGGGGTGGGGGAGTGGGAGGGAGACTGGCATTGGAGCTGGAGCTCTGGACCAGCCGAAGCAGCAGTTCAACCTCCACTTGGCCAGGTCCCAGGATGGGGGTCCCCGAGACCCTCTTCCCGCCCAGGGACAGGCCCAGCTGCAGTGTTTCCGTTTAACTCCTGTCCCTGGGGGCCCTCAGGCGGCCCTGGCCGGGGCCCAGGGCTGGGGCTGGCGGCGGGTGCAGCTGCCAGAGGAAGCCTGCGGTTGGAACAGCAGGTGGGGGCGGGGGAGTGCTGAGGTTCAAGCGAGCCTCCCCCACTCCAGCCTGTCTGCCCAGATTCTCGCACTCAAGTAGGGTCGCGCCTCGGGCCCACTCACAGAGGAGCAGGTGGGAGAGGTCTATTTGGCTTTCTGTTGGGGCCCCTGCCTAGAGCAGGGTGCTGGGGTCACACCCTGAGTTCCAGGAGGCCAAGCTCTGATGTGAGGGGAGACAAAGGCCTGGGCTCTGCCTCGTGCTCCCCTCTGCCTGACTAGCTTCCCTCTGCTCCTGGGCCTGGCTGGCAGCGGGGGTGGGGGGGGTGGGGGGGTGTGGAGTTCTTCCTTAGCTCCCAGGACCCAGACATTCCAGCTCCGAGCTGTCGCCCCCGCCCCAAGGACCCAGCAGGCTCGTCTCACCATTGGTCTGCCGGCTGCTCAGTGCTGGGCGCCCACCTCCGACTCTGGCTGTGTTGAGCGAGAAGTGAGCTGGCGCGCTCACTGCGCTAGGGGTGACCCGAGGCTTCCGCTTCCTGCCCACAAAACCCCTCCCAGCCTTCTCCGCCGGGACCCTGGTGGGAGCCTTGGGCCTCAGGACCACCCTGTGCTACACAGACCCTCCCGTTTCATGGGGTCAGGACGGGCTTCGGCCTGTGACCACGCCCCGAGGAGGACAAAGGGCACGCAGCTCCAGCTGACCCTGCAGGTGTCCCCAGGGCTTCTGCCTGTCTCCGCCTGGCCGACATCAGGGAAGCCAAGGCGGGGGATGCTCCTGGCCCAGGCCCTCCTCCCATCGACACCCCGCCGGTCCCGTCGGGTCCCCAGGTCTGCCTTTCCTGGCCCCGTCTCTGCAGCAGCAGGACGAAACTAGCTTTTACAAAGAGGATTTTATTTGGAATGAAAATATAGAGCCCGTCTCGGCCCTCTCCCCGGGGAGAGCAGGGCCTGGGCGGGTGGGGGTGGTCCCTCAGAGTACAAGCTTGCCTTGCTTCAAGAACCTTCACAGTAACTGCCAAAGCCAGCTCCAGCCTGGGCGCCTGGAGGGTCAGGGTTCGGACGGGCCCGAGTCCGCCCCACAGGCCCTCGGCAGGGGTAGCCAGCCGGTGGTGTGACGCTGCAGAGGCTGAGCAACAGTGGGGTCGAGCAGGAGGTGAGGGGGCAGTGGTGTCGGAGGGGTCTGTGGTCCTATGCGTCCCCGTTCTCCATGCGGCCCAGCTGCTCCTCCAAGCGGCTGAGGCGCTCCCCCTGCTCCTTGACTAGGGCTCGCAGGGCCCGCAGCTCCTGCATCACCTCCTCCAGCTTCCCGGCCTCCTGTGGTACAGCAGGGGGGTCAAGGCCTGGCGCCCACGGCCCCGAGACGGGCAGTATGTGTTCAGGCACACCCGCAGACCGGGGCAATACCCCACCCCACCAGGGGTCACGTACCCCAGCTCCTCCAGAGAGGCTCCCGCTGAGGGCACCGGAGGAGGCCCCTGGGCGGGCAGAGCCAGCGGTCAGGGCGGGCCGGCTGTCGGACAATACGTTGCGCCGGCTGACCTTCAGGTCCCGCTGCTTGGTGGGCACGTAGGCCACCCGCAGGGAGATGAGCATGGGGTCAGCATCACGGCCGCTCACCCACTCCTCTGCCTCCAGGGCCGCCTCGGGCCCCGCCGTGTCGGGGTACAGATCTTCCTGGAAGAGGTCCGACTGGGCAGGGGAAGGGGGAGAGCAAGATCAGTGGGGTCCTCTCGCCTAGACCCTGGATGGCCACATCATCCAGGCCTCTGGGCTTGCTTGCCATCACTCCATCCACCCGTGACCTGGCCCGGAGTGACCTTTCTAAAGGTCGGGTCTGCCCTTCCACTTCCTCTGAGCACCACCGACAGCTCCCCTGAAACCTTCCCCAAGCTTCCCCAGCAGGGGCCGGCGTGTGGCTTTGTGGGCTGCTGGAAGCCACATCCGTGCCTCTGGACTGCAAGCCTCAGGTAGACACTGCCAGCCTCTGCTCCTGGGCCGTGCCTGGCGTGCTGAGTGGTGTGTGCTGTGAGGGCAGCCCAGGCGCTGGGCTGGGCATCCAGGCCAAGCCGTGCAAGGTCTTATCCCCTTCCTCCCAAGTGCCTCCACTGCAGCTAGACTCCCGGATCTCCCAGCCTAGTGTCTATCCAGAGAGGGTCCCCGCCCCAGGCCTGCTGCCCATCCTGCCTCCTACAGGAAGACTGCCAGGGCTGCCAGACATGTCTCCTCAGCTCACCCTGGGTCTCATCCCTGCTTATTCCCTGTCCGGCACAGCCCAACACCTGGTGGGCAAAAGGGCCTGCTGGCCTCTGTCCAGCCTTCTGACCACTCCTACATGGGGCCGGCCTGCTGCAGAGGGCCCGGGTGGTGGGGACCAGGCGGCCTCACCTTCCTTGGCACGGTCATGACAATGGGCTCGCACTTGCGCTCATGCAGTTTGTAGAACCTGGGGGAGCCACAGGTAGAACCCCCACATCAGCTCTCCTGATGGCCTCCTTCCAGTCCTCACCCTGGCCCCTCTCGCAGACTGGCTGCCTCCCACAGGCTGACCCCTGACCACTTCCCCCTCCTCCCAGGCAGCTTCCTGCTCCAGGGCAGCCTCCTAAGATCTGACCTCTCACCCTAGATGCCCAGGGCAGGCCCACGACTACCGGCACCACCCCAGGCCGACCCCCCTCCCTATATCCTGCCCCTCTTACCGGGCGATCTCGCACTTGTTGACCTCCAGGCCTCTCTTGGGCATGCTGCCCATGCCCCTCTGGGGCTCTTTGCTGCTGAACGTGTTCAGGAAGTGGATGTAGGGGGACTCATCTGTGATCTCAAAGTACCGGATGCTGGAGTCGCCCTGCGGGGTGGGCAGGGGCAGGGGTCAGCTGCAGGCACCCCTCTTCCCTGCCCCCCAGCCCTGCCCCAGCCTGCCCCACCTTGCCGCAGACGTAGACCACACTGGTGTCGGCGTCGTAGAAGGGCAGCAGGGCCCCGTTGCTGGAGTCCAGCTCCTGCAGGGCCATGGGCTCTTCGAGATTTTCCTGGTACGCAGGAGGGGTGCGGTCAGGCCTGGCAGAGCCTCCCTTTCCCGTGTCCCAACCCCACAGCAGAACCTGCCCTGGCCAGCCTCGCCTGCTTGCTGGTGCTGCCCCCTCCCACGCCAGGTGGCTTCTCCCCCACCTCTAGGCCTTTGCAGACCCTGCCGGGCTCTCTGGACCCCCTCCACCCTAGGAGGTCTATTCCAGGCCTGTAGACTCTTCCCAGGCCACCGAGCAAGTGCTGAGAAAGGGCCCCCCATAAGGGAGCCAGGGTGGCAGGCAGCGGCAGCCCCCGTCGCAGAGGGGCCCCAGAGCGCTTCAGGGGAAGGGCTGGGAGGCTCCCAGAGGACAGGGCTCGGGAGGGCAGCCAGGCGGGCCTAGGCAGGCAAAGGAGGCAGCAGGGGCCGGCCAGGGAGGGAGGCAGTGGGCAGCCAGAGCGCGGGGGGGGGGGTGGGCGGTGGGGCACTGGTAGGATTCCAGAGCCACGAGAGCCTCTGCGGCAGGCTGAGAACCCGGAGCCCCAGCCTCCAGGGACACCCCTGCCCTCCTCATCCCGGGTGGGACCCACGTCTCGAGCCGCCCCTCACCGGGTCCCAGAGCGCCAGCTGCCGCTCGCTCATGCGGCTGAAGCCCGTGGTGAACACCTTGCCGTCCGCCAGGAAGATGGCCCGCATGGGCCGGGCCCCCTCGTGAGCCTTCTCCCGCTCCTGTGGGGAGACGGGGTGTCAGGGCAGCGCCCCCGGAGGCCCCCGGCCTGTCCACCGTCCTCTTCACCCTCCGCGGCCACGTACCGCCACCAGGACCCCGCGGCGGGGGTCGACGATGCGCACGCTCTTGTCCTTGCAGGCGGAGCAGAAGAGGCTGCCGTTGCGGTTCCAGCTGACGTTGTAGATGAGGTCGGGGTGCAGGCTGTCCAGGCGGTACAGCTCCTCCGCCGTGCCCACGTTCCAGATGAGTACCATGTTGTCACAGCCTGCGGGCGGGGACCACCGGCTCAGGCGCGGCGGGGGCACCAGCTCACTGATGGCCCCCAGGACCAGCCCCAGCCCCTCGACCTCTGTGGGCCTCAGCGCTCCCCTCTGGCAGATGGCCTGGGAGAGGCAGCGGAGAGGGTCCAGAGCTGTGCATGGAGGTGGGGGGCGGGGGGCTGCAGCCCGGACCTGCGCTGAGTAGCACGTTGCGGGCGGTGGGGTGCCAGGTGACGATGCCCACTCGTTTGGTGTGGCCCTCCAGCACGACTACCGGCTCCGTCAGCGGGGAGGTCAGCCCGTTCTCCGGGATCTGCCACACCTGGGGGAGGGGTGGAGCCACGCTGAGGCCCCTGCTCCGCCCCGCGGGCAGCAGCCGGGAGCTGCACCTGCGCCCGCCCCGCCCGGCCACAGCCCCGGCCTCACCATGACCGTGCAGTCCTCTGAGCCGCTGGCGATGACCTCGTCGTTGTGGGGACACCAGTCGATGTCCAGGACGGGTCCCGTGTGGCCACACACCGTCGGGTAGGCCTTGTCGACTCGGCCCGTCTGCGGACACGGAGGGCAGTCAAAGAGAAGGCCCGGGCTCTGTCCCCCCCGCAGCCTCCGTCTTCCCCTCTGCGGAGTGGGGATGATGGGCCTGGCTGTGCCCTTCGCTCTGCCTCTCCCTGGCACCTCTCTTCCTCCTTGGCATTATCAGGGGAGCAGGAAATGCTTGTTGTCTCTGACCGTAACTCTGGGCAATAAAGTACTTAACCATCTGATCTGTGCTGACAGCGCAGGAGCGGGAAGTCTGGATGATGACACCCGTCCAGAAGGTGGGGACGCGCGAGATAAGGGATGAGGTGAGCGACAGGTTGGGCCAAACTGGCCCCCCAGCCCCGCAGGAGCCCACCTTGCTCAGGGGGAGCACCAGGAAGGCGCCCCCGCCGCTGGCCTCCACGATCACCGCCAGGAACTTGGGGTTGACCGCGCAGAAGGTGCTGTCCCAGGTGACACGGGACACTCGAATGTCCTCGTAGCATTGGTCGTTCTTGACTGGCTGCCCGAACACATGCCGGAACTTGCTCTGCCGCACCACTTTGCGGCCCGACATGTCTGCGCAGCGGAGAGGCCTGGGTCAGCCCCCGCCCACTCAGGCAACCCCCCGTCCGCCCCGGGCCTGCAGCCCGGCTCTCCTCTTCCCAGTTGCAGAATGGGGTCACAGGGCAGATCCGGGCTGTCCACCCCGGTCAGCGAGCGCTGGGAAGGGGAAATGCACTGGGCTCCGGCTGACACCGGAGTCCTGAGGGGCTTCACAGGACCCTGCCTGGGCCCTCCTGGGAAGTGAAACCAGAGCAAGCTGAGTCCCGCGGTGGCTCCCAGGCGGTTCCCAGGCAGTCCCCGCAGGGTCCCTTCTGCCCAGCGGCTGCAGGCTGGGTGATGGCGACGACCAGAGAGAGGACCCGCGCGGTCATCTGCGCCAGGCCCTAGCTCTGGCCCCCTGGGATGCTCTCGCCCCGCAGGCATGTGTAGGGGCTGGAAGGCGGCCCAGGCCGGCCCAGGGGTCCTGGCAGCACCGAGCCGGGCTCGGGAGCTCCCAGAACGGCCTTGGAGCGGGACCAGATGAACCGGGAGCCCGACTTCGAGGGGCCCCGGCCCAAGAGGGGAGAGGCCGAGCGGCCAAGGGGAGCTGGAGCTGAGGGTGAGCCCAGCGGAGGAGAAGCCCCTCGGGCTTGCGCCCCCCGCCCCGGTCCCAGACCCCCGAGGCTCCGCCCGCGGCCCGCCCAGCTCCCCGCCCGCGGCCCGGCCCCGCTCACCGGAGCACCGGGGCTGCGGCTCCGGCCTCGGGCAGCTCCGGATCCCAGGCTCTGGGAAGCAGGAAGCGGGAATCAGGAAGTGACAGAGGAGCCGGGGCGGGGCGGGCCGCGGGCCCGCGGGGGGCGGGGCGGGCGGGGGGCCGCGGGGGGCGGGGCGGGGCGGGGGGCGGGGCGGGGCCGCGGGGGTCCCGGGGGCGGGGCGGGGCGGGGCGGGGCCGCGGGGGGTCCCGGGGGGCGGGGGTCCCGGGCGGCCCGGCGTGGGCCCCAGCGCCTCCCTGCTCCGCGGCTCTTCGCGGCATCCTCAGGAGGCGCCGGGCTTGGGTGGTTATTTCGTCACTTAAAAGAGGCTCGTGGCTCGTGGACGGGGCGCCTGCCCCACGGCGAGTGCTTTGCGGAGGGGGGCGCCTTGGGGGGCTCTGGCAGCGCGCGCTGGGGTGGGGATCCGAAGGGCGGCGCTTTCGGTTAACAACTATGAAAAGTTGGTGTTTCAAGGCGCCAGCGGGAGACCCCAGCCCCCCCTCCCGGTCTGAGGCGCACTCCTGGGTCCTACCGGGCCTCTTTCTTGAAAAACCAGAAACGGGCCGAGCCCCACAGATCCTTCGCTCCCGCCTCTCTCTCCTGACCCTCACCAGGCCTGGCTGTCGGGCGCACGGCCCCCCTCACTGTGACCTCAGCTCCCCCCATCTCCATCCCCCCCTGGGAGCTCGGGTGGCCCTCGGGCACCGGCCACTTCCATCCCTTCCCTGAGCATCTGCTGCCCTGGGTGATGCTTGCGTGAGGGGCCTGAAAGCGGGGTGGAGGGTGGAGGGGGAGCCAGCGGGAGCGTCGCCCCGGGGCTGCAGGGACCTCCACCTGGGCCCAGGCTCCTCCAGCTCTCACTTCTCACCCTGCTGGGGAAACAGCTGAGAGGACAGGTGCCCCCGTGCCCCTGCGGGAGGTGGTTCCCTCTGTTTTGCACCAATGTCCTTGCTTTTCTCCTGCGCTGTAAACCTAGGGGTCTGCTGACCCTCCCAGCAGGCCTGGGATCTGAGCAGCTGGGAAGGGGGCATGAGGCGTCCGCTGTGCCCTCCAGGAGGGATCAGGGATCTGTCAAAGCCCAGACCAGATCCTCTGCCCAGTCCTCCCGTCGCCCCTCATCACCACACCTGAAGTGAATCGGTGGCCGGTCCTGCGCACCTGCTGCTGACCCTCCCGGCCCCGAAACCCACCGGCTTCCTTCCTGCCCCAGCCCCTCGGTCGGGAAGCTCTTCCTCCGGGTCTTGAAAAGGCTGCATCCCTTTCTCCCTCCATGCCCAGACGTCGGTGCCGCGTGCCCGGGACCCTCCCTGGCTAGCCCCATCACCCAGTCGCTCTCCTGTGTCCTTCTTAATCACCGCTGGTGTTACATCATGTAATTATTTGTGTGGTTGCCGTGGGTTCTGCCTCCCCAGCTAGGATGTCAGCTAATGGAGGGTGGCGCTTTGTCTTGGTCCCCACTGTGCCCCCAGCACCCCAAACAAGACCGAGCTCGCAGCTTGTGTTCCTCCCACGTGTGTTGAAGGAATGGTCAGACGCTCTGAACGTACAATTGAAAAAAAATGTTCATATTCACAAATCTCGAATCAATGCCTGGCGCCTCTGAGCGAGAGCAGGGGTGCTCCTCACCCGGAAGGGGCGAGTCTCCCCGGGCAGCAGGGGCTGAGCTCTGGGCACAGGGTGAAGGGGCTGGGACTGTCTCGGTGTGAACAGTTCCTCCAGCACAGGGCCTCCTCTGTGGCCGCAGGGGACTCCTGGGCCACAAGCCCACGTGGCGCCGTCTTTCTCCAGATTGGAATGACCCAGGTGGGTGAGTTTCCTGGGGCCGTGGACATGGGGCTGGCTGGCCCTCCAGAGGCGGGGCTTGGGGTGCACCCCAGCTTAGTAGACAGGTGTCTGGCCCTGAGCTGTCCTACTTGTTTAAAGCTTTGAGGCTCTGGCCTGAGAGAAGGTGGGGGTACGGTGAAGTGCCACAGGGGCCATAAGTCTGGACCTTGCCTTCAGGGAGCCCCCAGTGGGGTGAGGGAGTGTGAAAGCGTTTCTTGAAGAGGAAGAAGCTGGGTGGCAGCAGGGATGATCCCTGGTGGGCAGGATGCCTACCTGGGGGTCAGTGCTGGCTCCAGCCTGTTTGAGGCTGGGGTGTGGCCTGCTGTAGGCTGACTGTTGGTGATCCCCCACCCCTTGCCAGGATCCATGCACTTCACAGTGACAACAGGCCTAAGAAGTGGCACCATTATGTTTCCCGTGATACAACTGACGAAACTGAGCCTCAAAGAGGTCAAGAACCCTCCTGAAGGCCGCACAGCCGGTGAGTAGTAGAGCCAGGACCCAAACAACCCCTTGGGGAGGGGTTGCCCCCTCACACACCCCCGACTCCAAAATGCTGGGCTGGCTGAAAGGCCCTTGGCAAGGGTAATTCACTCAGTAAATGAATGAATTCAACAAACTCGTGCTTGTCCAGAGACCTCTCTCTACCTGCCTCGGTTGCCCACAGTGCCCACGAAAGTCACTGTCACAGCTACTGGGAGGGGCCGCCGCTGGCTAAGTCACAGTGCAGAGCTAATGGGGAAGGATGGGGGTCGGTGAAGTGGGGAAAGAGAACTGGACTTGGGGATGCTGGGGTCAGGAGAAAGCTGGAGGGAGGCCAGGAGAAGGTGCTGGAGGGGAAGGGAAGTGGGTGCAGATTGAAAATAGGCCTTCAGCACTTCCTCTTTTTTCTCGAAGTGCCTGCAGCTTGAGAGGGGGGAGGTTGACTACCCCAGAGATTCCTGCAACCTGGTGGGGGTGGCGTCTGCCCTTTGGGGAGGGTCTGCCCTTTCTGGAGCTGCTGGGCCCCAGAACCCTCTTGGACTTCCTCCCAGCCCTGAACCCTTTCACGGAGCTGACCTTGACCTGCCAGCTGCCCCAGCACAGAGGCAGCCCTGCATGCTCTCAGGCCACCTGGGTGTCATAGCCCCGAACCCAGCACAGCTGACCTGTCCCCAAACTCACAGGGCCCCAGATGCTCAGGCCAGATGGGGCCTCTCCCGCCTGCCCTTCCCATCCAGACCCGGCCCTCGCAGGGACATCCCTGTGCTCCAGGAAGGAAGAACATCTGGCCCTACCATGTGCCAGGCTCTTGCTGGGTGCCTCACACACTTATTCGTTTAATCCTCACCACAGCAGCTGAAACCAGAGCTCAGACGGCAAAGCTGCTTGTCCAGAGCCTCCAACGCAGTATTTTAATCCAGCTCCCCAACCCCCTCCTTGCTGAGGGAGCGCCTCCCCCAGTCCTGTCCCACTGCCTGTGGGTCCGGAGGGGCTGGGGAGAGGACTTGACCATGCAGGCCAGCTGTGGGCCCCCAGGCCTGCACCATTGCAGGGCCAGCCTCCTTATGCCAGGTTAGAGGGGGTGGCAGGGAGGTGGGAGACGCAGCAGGGCCGCGCTGCAGGGCAGAGTTCAGCAGGACACAGTCAGCTGTGACAGCGCAGGGGCAGGTGGGCCCCTGCAAGTGTGGTGGCGGCGGGCCCGGAAGAGGCCTGGGGGAGCCAGGGACCGAGCGGCGCTTACAAACTGGGGGTTTTGGCTGCTTCATTTTCACTTCCCCCAAGTCCTCCTGTCAGGCCTGGGGGCCTTGGTAGGGTTTTCCATGACTGCTTCCTCCTCGGCCCCTCCTTCGTACTGGGCTGGTTCCTGTCTCCCTCTGTCTCTTCTGAGGCCTGAGCTTTCCTGCTCCTCATGTGGGGCTTGTGCCCATGGCCACCTCTGGGGGGCCACTACCAGGGCTTTCTTCTTCCGCTGCAGCAGACGTGTCTGGCTTCTCAGAGGCCTCTGGGGTGGGTTCTGTGGATGGGTTGCAGGGGCCTTCATCATGGGGGCTGGCAGTGGGTTCGGGAGTCTGGGCCTCAGGGCTTGCCTGCGGTCGGGCCATAGAGTCCAGCTGGGCTACAGAATCTGCCTGTGGCTGGGCGTTGGGGTTCGCCTCTGGCTGGGCGGTGGGGGTCTCCTGTGGTTGGGCTGTGGGGTTCACCTCTGGCTGGGTGGTGGGGGTTGCCTGTGATGGGACCATGGGGGTTGCCTGTGGCTGGGCCTCAGACATTGGCGCTGGCAGAGACTGGCCCCCAGAGTCTGCTTGGGTCTGCGGCTCCGCTAGCGTGACGCTGCCAGGCCGTTCCTCACAGAGAGCCGCCGCAAAGGAGGAGAGGACGGTGTGCAGCAGGGCCCGGAGGTCGGCGCTGGCCAGGAGGCATAGGAAGGGGCTGAGGCAGCTGTTGAGCAGGATCAGGTAGTCAGAGTAGACCAGGGCCTCCCAGAGCAGGTAGCCGGGGTAGACGTCCCACAGGAAGGCCAGGTACAGCAGCTGCGCCAACTGGTAGGGCAGCCGCAGGACCACGTAGGCTGACAAGATGGTCTTGGCCACACGGGCAAAGCCACGGCAGGCCGGAGGCCTGGGCCGGCCGCAGCGGCAAGCCTTGCAGGCAGCAGCTTGTGTGAGCACGTGGCAGACGAGCAGCAGAAGGAATGGCAGGAAGCCCCCCAGGATCTCAAGCATCCGCAGCGGCAGCTCCTCGCTCTCCCAGAAGTCCAGGCAGATGACCAGGTCATACCACCAGACGGCAGCCTCGGGGAATACCAGCCAGGGCACACTGAAGAGTGTGGCCAGCACCCAGACCCCAGCACAGACCCAGAGGGGCAAGCGGGCCGGGCGGCACCTGGGGTACCAGCCTGGACACAGCACCAGCAGGCAGCAGTCCAGGCTCAGGGCTGCCAGCAGGAAGAGGCCAGAGGAGTAGGACACACCCCACAAAAAGTAGTAGAAGCGGCAGGCAGCTGTCCCCAGGGGCCAGTGCCCTCCATGCTGGATCTCCAGAATCTGGAAGGCTGCTGCTGCCAGGAACAGAAAGTCAGAGAGGGCCAGGCTGAGCAGCAGCAGGGCCAGCCGAGTACCCGCTCCCTCCCGGGCCTGTGAGCCGGCCAGCCATGCCATAAGCCCGTTGGCTGGCAGCCCCAGAATCAGCAGGGCCACCAAGAAGACCATATCCCAGCCACCCTGGGGGTAAGAGTCCTCATCATCAAGCTCTGTGCGGGGCTTGTGGCCAGCAGCACCCAGGCTGGCCTCCATGGCAGTGTCCATCTGCGGTCCCCAGGTTACCAGTGGGCACAGGGTGGGCACCTGTGAACCAAGGAAAGGATGACTGAGTTTGAGAGAGGGCGCTGTGTGTCTCCAAGCAAGTCACCGTCCCTCTCTGAGCCATTATTAGCGCCTCCTGGTGGGTTAGCGTAAGCAGGGACCTTAGTAAGTGACCTTGCCAGTCTGTTTTACAGGTGCAGGGAGGCGGGTTCAGAGGATCAGCGCGAGGTCAGAGGTGGGAAGAGGGCGCCGGCCTCTGCTGCCAGCGGAGTCCTGCGTGTCCGGGGAGACTAAACCAGAGCCTGTCGAACATATTTTTTAAAAACTGGTGAGTATTTTCTTTAAATAAATAAAATACAGCTGTGGAACGATGTATAAACTAAAGGGGAGTTCAGATTAAAGGGGGGGAGAGCGCCCCTAGGGCTCCTGGGAGCACGGTTTGAAGACCATGTGGAGAAAAATATAAGAAATACATTTTTTAAAGAGAGGAAAAGAAAAGCAACAAGAACAGCAGAAACAAAAGAATGCAGAAAAGAAAAACACTTGGTGTGACCCCATCGCGGGCTCTTTTCTGTCTGGCCCCCTGGGGTTCAAGTGTTTGAGCTTCCGGGAGGGGAGGGCCCAGGGTGCCCGGCCCCAGGGGTCAAGGCTGGGCAGGGCCTTGGGCGTGGAGATCCCTTCCGCCAGGCCGCGCAGACGCACTCCAGGCGAGGGCTGAGCCCAGAGGCTCCCAGGCAGCAGCTTCCTCGTCCTCCTCCCCACCCCGCCCCCCCCGCCCCCCCACTGGTGGCGCCTCCCCGAGCCTTGGCTCAGGCTGGAGCTGGCGCCTTTCCCCCGGTCTACCGAGAAGTGGACTCAGCAGGATGAGGGCTGCCGGGACCGAGGGCTTGCTCCCCGCCCCGCCCCAGATGGCCCGAGGGTCTCCCTCTGAGGATGGAGAAGCCCCGGGTGGCGCCTGGAGTTAGCAGAGGAGCCAGAGGCCCCAGAAAGGCTGACCCTGCCTGTGGCCTGCGACTCCATCTGCTTGGCCTTCAGCCTGGTGGCCACCCCGCCCCAGGCCAACCACACTCTGCAAGCTCCGGGCCAGAGCCTTGGCCACCCCACGCTGAGCGGGGAGGCCTGGCTTACCAGTGAAGCGCGGGCTGCCGGCCGGAAGGAGCAGGCGCGCCTGGCTGCAGGGAGGTCCCGCCGTCCACATGGCCCCACGCCGGGCCTGCTCATGGCCTGCAGCGCCGAGGCGCCGGCGTGAAACCCAAGCTGAGATGACATCAATCATTCATGGACTGCTCTCCGGGAAACCCTAACCCCGGCCCAGGAGGCCGAGTGACCAGCCAGGCCCCCTGCTCCCCGAAATCCCCTCCCCCAGGTCCCCTCTAGCTCAGGACTGGCTCTGGGTCCCCAAGGGGTCACCTCCTCTGATGTCAACGCTCTGCCCCTTGATCTGGCATCCAGGGCCTCTGTGCCCTGGCCTCTCTTCCAGCCAGATGTTGCCCCCCGAGGGGCTGCTCAGGTGGGCAATGCCTTCCTCCTGCCAGCTCCGGCCCCCACTCCTCCCGCCTGAGATGACCTCCGATGCTCTGCCTAGCTGAGTCTTGTCCACATCACACAACGGGGTCGCATCCTTGACTCTTCGGGAATACCGACCCCATATTATAGAGGAGGCAGTGGAGGCTTTAGAGAGGCCAGTCTGCTGGGTCTCCCAGCTCAGCTGGCAGAGCTGGAATCCGAACTGAAGACAGGTCTCTTGCCCCATCTGGCTGGCCCTGGCCACCCCCAGGTAGAGGACATGGATTAGGGCCTGGGCTGCCAGCCTCACTTACCCTAATCCCACTCGGGGCCTGACCTCAGGCCACCAGCTCTCACGGTGGGGGTGCATAAGCAGCTTTGTGGGCCCCGAGGGCCAACAACACTCCGTGGTGCTGTCTGTCTCTGAGTCCCATCGACCCCTCCACATGGCCACAGAGCAGACAAGGGGGCTGCATGGCTCAGGCCTGGCCCTTGGCCCCCAGGAGCCCCCCGTGGGGCTTGTGGCTCCCAAGAGTGGTGAGGGGCTCCCCTTGACCAGGAGGAGGAGCAAGGAGGAGAAGGGGCTACGAGGATCCTGGAAGGGCACTGGCAGCTCTGGGGTACAGACCCCTAGTCAGGGCCCCCAAGCCCCAGGGAGCGGCAAGAACGTATCTAGGACCAGAGAAGGGCAGGGGGGGTCAGCCTCTGTAGCCCAGGGGCCGGCCTCTCGCCACCAGTCCCCCCGCCGGCATTGTCCCGGACCCCGGCTCGATGCTGCTCAGAAGACCTACGGGCCCCTTCTCAGCCGCGTCTTCGGGAAGGTCAGCTGGGGCCTGGGCAGGCTGGGCCGCGGGGCGGGGTGGGCCTCAGCCCTCAAGCTCAGCACTCTGCCCCTAGTACCCAGGCCTCCTGCCTCTTCTGCTCGACTCGGGGTCCGGGCAGGACTTGCTGCAGTCCAGGCAAGGCAGGCCTTGGACTGACCTTGGCCTTGGCAGAGTCAGAGCTCAGACCGAGTTCTGCGAGAGCTCAGGCCTCGGGAGCAGGAGCAGGAAGGGGGGCTCGTCTGTTTTCTGAGGCCCGCGGGACTACAGCTCCTTCTGCCCTCGGGGTCTGGGCTGGGCTGCAGGGGCAGCGTGGCCCGGGACAAGCTGGCCTGTGTCCCTGCAGGATCGCGCGCTGGGCCCCGGGGAGCTGCATGGTGAGTGGCCCTGGCTGCCGGTGGCGGGTGGCGGGGTCCCAGACCCGGCCCCTGGCCTGACCCCCCTCCCCGGCAGAGCTGCAGGCCGCCTTCCAGGAGTTTGACACTGACGGTGACGGCTACATCGGCCACCGGGAGCTGGGCGCCTGCATGCGCACGCTGGGCTACATGCCCACCGAGATGGAGCTCCTCGAGGTCTCCCAGCACGTCAAGATGCGAAGTCAGTGCTGGGGAGCCGGGCGGGGCGGGGCGGGGCGGGGCGGCCCTAGCCCAGGCTGAGCCTCGAGGTCAGAGTCAGTGAGGTGGGGTACCAGGTGACCCGGGAGGCTGGAGGGGTGCGCAGGCCCACAATGACACCGTCAGAGGCAGGGACATGGGGGGTGGGCAAGAGAGGTATTGGGGCTCAGGTGGAGAGCCCCCCGGGTGTCCTCTGGCCACTCCAAACTTGGCCTTCCACCTGAGCCCCACTGGCCCCCGGCCAGTGCTCCCTGCTGGTGCTCGCCACTGCTTGCTTCTCTCTCCCTCTTGGGAAAAGCCGCCCCGGAACTTTGGAGGCCGGCGTGTTGCGGCCTGGCCAGGCCTGGCGATTAAATGTCAAGCGGGCGGGCACCTGTGTGATTATCAGGAGCAAATTTGTTCTCCGACAGAGATCAGGTTCCTTTCATTCCCGAACACCCACGTTTGTTTTTCCCTTTACAGCTTCCCAAATGGGGATGTGATTTACACCCATAGGTGCTTCCCAAGCTGTTTTTGGCCATCTGGGTGGCGTCTTAGAACCCAGGGCCAGAGGGGTCGGCTTCCCCAGGGGTGCTATTTGCTGCCTACAGGGTTCCAGCACTCAGAGCCCCCAGAGGTTCAAGGAGAAGGAAGGAGGGTTAGCAAGTCACGCAAGGCCACCCCCACAGGCAGCAAAGGCCGGTTTGAACCCTCGGCTGTGTGTTCCTCGGCCTGGCTTTCTCCCCCACACTTGGGGGTTCCCTTGACCGTGCCCATGCCCTCTCCCCAGTTGGCTCCCCTCAGCAGAGAATGGGGCTCCAGTCCTCCTGCCTGAGGGCATGGACCCGGGTGCTTCCTCCTGGGTGGGGGAGGGGCTGGCACAAGGTCCCCAAGGCCTGGCCCTCACCCTGTGACGCTCCCCTGGCCTGCAGTGGGTGGCTGCGTGGACTTCGAGGAATTTGTGGAATTGATAGGCCCAAAGCTGAAGGAGGAGACGGCACACATGTTGGGGGTTCGGGAACTGCGCATCGCCTTCCGAGAGGTTTGGAGTTGGGGTGGGGGCTGCATGGCACCCTGGCTGGCTGCCCACCCAGGCCAGAGGAGGCTGGTGGCCTCAGCCCTGCACACAGTGGGACGAGGGGCAGGGAGGGGCCGGAGGGTTTCTGCTGACTTCTAGCTAGGGGGAGCCCCCTAGGGAGACTTCCGGAGGAGGGAGACCATGGTGGGGGGGTGGGCAGAGCAGCTTTGGGGAGTGACTGCACCCTGCCTGGGCCCCAGTTCGACAGGGACAGGGACGGACGAATCACAGGGGCAGAGCTTCGGCAGGCGGCACCCGCTCTGCTGGGGGAGCCGCTGGTGAGCCCTGAGCTGGACGAGATGCTCCGAGATGTGGACCTCAATGGGGACGGCTCTGTGGACTTTGATGGTCAGTCTGCTTCCCTCATGACCCCCAGGCCGCCAGCTCCCAGGCTGAGCACAGCGCCTCCCGTGACTCCTGGCCTGGCTGGGCTAAGTCCTGCCCCATCTCCCCTGCAGAGTTTGTGATGATGCTTTCCACTCACTGAGGCTTCAGGAGGGGGATGAGCTGTCCTTTGGCCCCAGATTCCAGCAGGGACCTGCCGTAACCCTCCCCACAAGACTCCTGATGCAAGACCCTGGAGCCCCCAGGCTTCTGCCCCCGATGATACCTGACCAGAGGGTCCTCTCCCTCCTGATGTCACCTGCCCATGCCATCTCACCTGCCTCCCACCGAACTGCCTGGAGGGAAATTGAAAGAAGAAAGGGGTGAGCCCGGGTGCCAGAGATGGAGAGAAAACGCAAAGGTGGTGGTGGCAGGGAGCGAACACCATGGGGGCTTCAGACCCAGAGAGCTCTAGGGCCCTGGGCCGTGGAACCCAGGAGTGATGATGCTGTGAGGCCCAAAGAGGCTGGGGAGTGAGCACGGCCCTGACCGTGTTCAGGGACTCAAAGGGTCAAGCTGTTCTTGAAAGGGTGACTCCAGTGCATTTCCACTTACCAGCCTGAGACGGGCACAGATGCTGAGGCCCGCACACCAAGCCTGAGTGTGGTCCATCTCCATGGTGAGAAGAACTGAAGTAACTGGAAAAACTCCTGGGGCACTGTCTCAGCCCCAGGCACACAGGACATGCAACCTGTCACTTCTGAGGATGAGTTGACGACAAAAAGTGATAAATCACGTAAGGAAACAAATCATCCTAGGGAGACCAGGCAGATGCAACAAACAAAAGTAGAGATAGTAAAATAATCTAAAAGAGACCCTAAAATAGATGCAAACACTTCTTGAGATAAAAGAAGGAAGAGAAACCAATAGTTACGAGATGGTATAAAAATAAAAGAGGAAGATTAAAAATAGGATGAAAAAATCAACAATTGGTTAAACAGCATATTAGACACCATTAAAGAGTCCCGAACTAAAAGCTCCCTCTGTGAGATCACTCAGTAACGCTGAGTGAAAGTGGGAAATAAAAAGGGAGTTGACATTCCTCAGGTGTCTCAGGAGAAAATACAGAGAATGGGCATGTGGCAATGTTCAAAGAGATGATGGCTGAATATTTTCCATAAATATGTCTACAAAGATGGGCGCGCAACTGGAGGATGCATATTAGAACCAGAGCAGGAGAAATAAAAATAAATGTATATCTCGATGCATCCCAATGACACAGATGGCAAAAAGAAAATCTTACAAACAGGGCCTCCCCGGTGGCGCAGCGGTTGAGCGCTGGGTTGCGAAGCTGCCCGCGGCCTCGGAGGCGCCGGTTCGATCCCCGGCTGCTCCCCGGCCACCGGAGGAGGGTCCCACATGGCGCGCAGACCTCTCCTGCCGCCCGCTGCTCCCCTCAGCAGTGTCCTTCGGTCCTTCTGCCTGCTCTGCTCCCCGCTCTGGCTCTGGTGAATTCTCTCACCCTCCCGTGCTTCTGACTGTACCCAGTGCATGTATAAACAAACAAACAAACAAACAAACAAATAAATAAAACATGCCTCTATTTAAAAAAAAAAAAAAGAAAGAAAGAAAATCTTACAAACAGCTCAGATTACTTTCTGAGGAACAACTAGATTCTCCAAAGACTTTTCATGGAGAGGGTCCGGGCTGAGTTGCTGCAGAGGGAGTTGGGTGTATTCCTAACTCTGGCTGCTGTCCAGTGCCTGCCATTGGGCAATATGGCTCTCTGGGCCTCAGTTTGTTCATCTGCAAAATGGGCCAAGGCAATCAGGATTGCCAGAAACAAACCGTGTTAAGTGTTTAGCATAAAACTTGGTGACTTATGAGAGTTTAAGAGATGGTAGCTAATGGGATCTCAGATTTTAGGGTTCTGAAACATTCTTTTTCTTGGAAGGGGGGGGGCTGAGCATTGGCTCAAGAGGTTTGGTGATGAGTGAAGCATATGCATATATGGAGGTGTGAAGATTTAGCCCAGAATTATATCTACTTATATGTAAATGATTGACAGATAAAATTGAAGGAAAAAGATTGTTTTTTGGTTCTTAAGATTCTGAGATACTCAGATTTTCAAAACTCTGAGATGGTCTGTTTCCAACATTATGAGATTCTAAGAGTCTTTGGTCACTAAGGTTGTCAATATGGGCTGTGCTTTCTGTTGCCTCTACTGCTCCCAAATTCTGGGCCTGGGAAGTAGGCCAGTGGGTGGAGGGGGCTGGGCTCTACCTTGTCGTGGCCTACATTTGGGGTTGGCCGCACAGCCCAGAGCCCCAGAGCCAAGCTGAACCAGGATACCAGCCTCCAGGTCCCAGGCCTGCGTTAACTGTAAGTGCCCTTGGCCAGGGCCACCAGAGGTGCCACCTGCTAGCAGATGCCCTCCAGGTAGAGAGGGGGCAGGGTCAGCTCTGCTGGGAGCAGGGGGAATAGGGAGACTGGAAGAGGCTCCTTGAAGTCGCAGGGTGTCAAGGTCCCAGACCTGGCTCGGCCGGTAAGGCGCTGTGTGCCCCTGAGCAAGTCATGGAGCATCAGGTGTGTCCTGTGCACAAGCAGCTGAGTGCAAGGCCCAGGGTCAGTCCTTCCCCAGCTTTTGCAGGAGGGCGTGTGGCTGGTGGGAAGGAAAGAGGGAAATCTCTGCTGGCACCAACCCCTTTATTAATACAAAACGCCAACCCGCAGCCCCGGGCCGGAGAATAAGTTAAGGCACACAGCAGGCAAGGGGCGACTTTCTCAGGTTCAGGGGGCCTGAACACCCCAAACTTCCTGAGCAAACCGAGGGGGCTGGGGGCTCGCACGCCCTGGAGCAGCAGGGGTGGCGTGGAGGCTTTTCCCTGGAGATGCGAGGGCGCCCCGGGCCGCTCGGGGCCACGCTGGATGTCGGCTGTCCTCCGCGGCTCGAGGCTCACTTCTCGAAGTAGGGCAGGTAGAAGAACTGGAAGCCCCGGTGGCCCCGGACGGCGCAGTAGATGAAGATCACGTGGTAGACTGTGGGGCGGGGCCAGTCAGCCTCCAGGCCCCGCCCCGCCCCGCCCCGCCCCGCCCCGGGCGCCCCGCGCACCTCCCGGGACCAGCAGCAGGAAGCCCGGCACGAAGAAGATGGCGCTGGAGACACCTGCGGGCGAGAGGCGGGGCTGTCGGCGCGGGGCGGGCGCGCCGGGAGGTGGCGGGGCCGGCCACGGACCCCTGGGCGCTCCCGCGGAGTCGGAGGGGCGCTCACCTGGGGCGGGGGCCACCTCCAGTCCCACGCCGGTCAGGATCAGCACTGCGGAGGGAGCCGCGCGGGTGAGGGGGGCGCAGAGGGCAAGGGTCACCTCCACCCGCACCCCCCAACTTGAGCGAGGCCCGAGGAGCGCGCCCCGCCCTGGAGCTGCAGGCCCCCCCGGGGAGGGGCGCCCTGGGAAGCTCCCAAGCTGTTTTCCGAGCAGGGTCTTCGGCAGTGAAGCCAGAGAGTTTCGTCTGCTGCTTTCAGTCACTCAACAAGCATTGCGGGGGCACCTGCGCTGAGCCTGGTACTGGGAATCCTGAGTGAAAGGCGATGAGGTCCTCACCCCACCCTCGTGGCCTTTCCTAGTGCGGCTTCACTGAGGGCACGGCCGGCAGAGGGGTCCAGGCGGGCTCCGGGGCCTGGCTGAGCCGGGAGCAGCAGCATCAGCAGTTAATTAATGTGCAGTGACCACTTACCAGGCCAGGGCTTGGGGCTGGGCGTGATACGCGCACTGCCCATTTGTCACCCTGACCCAGTGACACAGAATTATCATCCCCCTGTTTCACTGAAGATAAAACGGACACAGGAAAAGTGACCCGCCTGCAGCTACCTCCGGGAGGTGGAGGTGCTGGAGTCCAGATGGTGTGTGAGGCCCGGGTGCGGGCGGCTACTCCACACATGCTGAGGAGCATGGCAAAGGGACCTACTGCGGCTTCTGGGCGCTTCTAGCTCTGAGTGGGCAGAGCCCACAGCCCACATCACAGCAGGTGTGCAGAGTGAGTTTCAGCCCCATCACACCCTTTTTTGAGGAGCACAGTACCCCGCCCCCTGCCTATGAGACCACCTACCCACCTTCCCCCTCCTGCCTCTCGCCACAGACCCAGGTCTGAACAGTTGAGTGAACCATGACCCCGGGTCTGTGGTCCCCAAGTTTGGGCCATGCTCCCAATCAGAGGAGGCAGCTGTTTCTAATTCCCACCAGGGCCCTTGCCAGGCCTGCGGGGCCCTCAGGCCCTGTGGTGCCCCTGAGGGGGGTCAGTCCTTGTGCATCCGCTCTCTGCTGTGACCTGAGAAGTCCCCTCATCTGCCAGCCTGTGTCCTGGCTTCTGGAAATGGATGGTAGCAATGCTCGTCCCACTGGGTCAGAGAGAAGGGTGAGTGGCAAGGCAGGTGGCCAGTATACCAGTGCCTTGCAAGCAGTGGATGGGGGAAGCCCCCTGGCCCACCCCAACACATAGCGCTCAGGCAAGGACCAAGGACACACTTGCCTGGTTTTGTGGTCAGGGGAGCTGTTGGCTGGGGGACTCTGGCCTTTTGGGGAGTGGGGGAGGCCAGCAGTACCGTTGTGCCCTCTTTGTGGGCCCTTCTTGATCCCAGCCCTAAATCCCTTCTAGGGACTCTGACTCCTCGGCCCCCTAGAACGAGCAGCGTGGGAGTCAGATCTGCCCGCTGTGTGCCTCAGTTTCCCTGTCTGAGCCCTGGGGAAGGGAGAGAGATCCCTGTCAGCACTAGATTCCAGAGGAGGGGAGGTGACACGTGCCCTGGGGATTGGGCTGGCAGGCACTCAGCACCTCTGCCACAGGCCAGGCTTTCTGCGAGCATCCACCCCTACACACAGGTCTGGGGTAAGGCCCTAGCCCTTGCTTGCTGGGACTGGAAGGCGGGACTGGAAGGAACAAGCCTGCCTTGTTCCTGGCTCCAAGTAGACACAGAGTAAAGGGAGTGATCAGGCTTCTGTCCCTGAGGTTAATCAGGCTACGTTAAAGTGAAGACAAGCTTGGGCCACTGAACCAGGTGCCATTGTCAGCGTGTGCCAGGCCCGGGCTGCTGCTCTCAGGCCTTGTTCCTCACCTGCTGAATGGGGGTGGGCGATGGCAGCCAGTGGGGGCCTTGGGAACTGGGAGGCTTGCTGTGCTCAGAGAACTGTGGAGTCTATACAACGGCTCTCCCCGGGGGTACCAGGGAAGTGGGGGCCTCGGCACTCACCCAGCCCCAGCAGCAGGAGCAGGAAGGAGGCCAGCACTATGCGACGGTTCTTCTGGATCAAAGGGTGTTGGGTCCAGCTGGGAGGGAGGAGAGGGGGTGAGTGTGAGTCAGGGGAGGGGTGGTGTGGGGGCACCGGGCTGCCAGTGTGCTCGAGCCAGGAAGGCCTTACCTGCAGCAGGCCCTGTAGGAGCGCTGGGTGCCGTTGCTGATGGTGCTGAAGGACCACTGCGAGCTGCGGATGGAGCTGCCTCGGGAGTCCCTGCAGGACAGGTGCAGGAGGGGTAGGGGAGGTGAGGAAGAGGGTCCCTTGGGACTGGTGGCAGGGGATGGTGCAGGGCTGGGGCTGTGCATTTGTGCGGGGTAGGGCCTGGGGTGGAGGAGGCTGGGCTGAGAGCTGGGAGGAGCAGGTGACGGGTAGGAAGGTGGGGGCCAGACCAGATAGGGGTTAAAGAGCCTGGTGGGGGTGGATGGGTGCGGCTGGTACGAGGGCAGGGTAACCCTGCAGGACAGGATACCCCATCTGGAGAATGGGGGTGAGCTGAGAAGCCTTTTGTAGGATAGGATGTGAGAGAGTGGGTGAAGTGAGGTGGAAGACTGGGTAGGGTTCTGGGGTCAGAAGCCAGAGGCTTCGGGGCTAGGGTTGCAGGGTGGGTCCCCACCTGGCCCTGACCTGGTGCTGACTCCCCCATCCGGCTCTGGAGAGGCCTGGGCTCCATCCTCATCGTTCTCCAGGTTCTATTCCAGAACACAGGGCTCAGGTTCTGCCTCCCCTCCCAAGGACAGGTGGAAAGCAGGCCCCGCAGCTACCTGCCCGCCCAGCCCAGCTGGGCAGCCTGACAGCTGCTTACCTGGCCCTCCGCCCTCCCAGCAGAACAGGTTTGATGATTCACAGAAACCGAAACCCCGGGGAGAAGTGGGTGCTGGGAGTTTTGGGGGGCAAGAGGTGGTAGAGGCTGGCTGAAGGCACTCAGCATGGGTCCAGGGTCCAGTGCTCTCCCGTTTGAGAGTTAGGGTGGCGCGCTCAGGATATTTCAGGGGCCCAGCACGGAGGTTCTGGATTTGGGGTGCCAGGGAAAGGCAGGCCCAGAATTTCCAGGCTTGGAGCACAGGAATCTGGTCCAGGATTCCAAGAAAAAGACCCTAGACTTGGTGGAGGTTTCTCATGTGAGTGAGGGCTGCCAGCTTGGGTGGGGAGGATGGAGTGGGGGCTTCCAGAACGGAAAGGGGGCAGGTTTCAGTAAGATCGGCCCGCTCGGGCAAGGTCTGCCTCAGGTACTGAGCGCTCCAGCCCAGCGGGGGCCCTCGGGCAGGGGCAGTACCCAGGGCGCGTGGGGATTCCAGGCGGGGTCTCCAGCGGGCGGAGCGGGCTGAGATGCCCGGTCCCGGCTCTGGGTGCCGCCGTGGCCGGTGGGGACCGACATCTGAGCTGGGAGGGTCTGGGCAAAGGTCTGGGTCGGAGGCCTCGTCCGAGGGGCGGTTCCCGCTCGAGCGGGGGCTCTGGGCAGATGTCCCTGCGCGAGCCTCTCCAGGGGCCTCCCCGGGCCCGGGCGGGGGCGAGCTGGGCCGGCCGTTCACCTGGTAGCGCAGTCGCGACTGCTTTTCCTCGTCGGTCACCTCGAACCGGGCCCGGCGCTCGAAGTGCAGCGGCCCGAAGCGGGCGACCCCGCTGGAATCGGGCCCGGGGCCCGCATCCTCCAGGGACAGCTCGAACGCGTCATCGATGCTGAACTGGGGGCGGGCGGCGCTCATGGCCCGGGCCCGCTCAGGCGCCCAGCGCCGCCGCCATCCGCGCCCGCCTGCCCCAGTGTCGCCGCGGCCCCGCCCCGCGCAGGCCCCGCCCCGCCCCGCGCAGGCCCCGCCCCCGACCGGCCCCGCCCCCGGGCTCGCCGTCTAGGAAGCTCGACGGGTCCGGCTGTGGTCGAGGCCCCGCCCCGCCCGCGCTCCTCAGGCCAGAGCTGCCGAGCGCCGAGCGGCCCAGTGGGCGGGGCGTCCTCGTCCGGACCGCGCCCGCCCGGGGGCGCCGCCTGGCGGTGGCCTGGGTGAGCGACAGCTGTGCCGCGGGCGGACCCAGCTCAGGTCTGTGCTGCGAGCGCGGAGCGGCTGCTGCGGGGACCCGGAGGGCACCTCTGCCGGCCGCGCCCTCATGCACCAGGGGTGCTCCTGGGAGCTCGTTCCTCACCCCGACCCACCACGCCATGCGCGGGAGGGGTGTTCGCGCCGCTTTGCAGATGTGGACCCTGAGGTCAGAGCGCGCTCTTGGCTGCCACTCCGCCCACGCAGGCTCCACGCGGCCGCCAAAGTGATCTTTAAAAGCGTCTCTGATCCTTCCTTCTGTGTTCTTCTTAAACACTGGCTTTAAGACGGTGTGCTAAGTCACTCTGTTTTCCATTGTGGTTAGACTAAAATAGGAACTCTTGTGCCCCGTGACCTGCCGTCCCGAGCTCCTCAGGTCCCCTCTGGCCCTCTGACCCACTCCACGACGCAGGCCGAGCTCATTGCCATCCCAGGGCTTTTGCGTGCGCTGGTCCCCATCCTGAAAATCACTCGAGCTTGCTGCCTCCCAGGGCCCTTCCATCATCCTAGTCCCTGCTCAGATGTCCCCTCTTGGGAAACCTCCCCGACTATGCCATGTGTGGCCAATTTCACATCACGCAGCGCTCTCCTGAGATGATCTTATTTGACACTGTTTAACTCACCTCTGTGCCTAGTGCCCAGCATATCTGCACTAAGTAGGTGCTCAGTAAATATTTGTGGGCGAAATGAATGAGAACTTTACCAAAACTCCAGCAGCTTGCAAGTACAGACGTGGGATTCGAACCCAGGCACTTACCTCCCATGAAAGAAGAGGGCTTACCCTCCCCCACCTGCCCACCCCCACTTCATTTTATGATTTGTTGGACAGAGTTGGCCAATCCCATTTCTGTTTGTGACACAGTATGGTTATGAACAAGAGCCGGCTCGAGTTACATTAGTTCATTTCCCTTCTCTCTTCTTCCCTTCTCTGCCTCCACCGGACCCCACTCCACACACCCGCACAGTGGCTTCCTCCAACACAGCCTGGCCCTCCAGCACACGGCAGTGGCTCCTGTGGGGATGTGTTTCAGTTTATAAAATGTCTGCTCTTTTTTTTTTTTTAAAGATTTATTTTTATTTATTTATGCAAGCACTGGGTACAGTCAGAATCGCGGGAGGGTGAGAGAATTCACCAGAGCCAGAGCGGGGAGCAGAGCAGGCAGAAGGACCGAAGGACACTGCTGAGGGGAGCAGCGGGCGGCAGGAGAGGTCTGCGCGCCATGCGGGACCCTCCTCCGGTGGCCGGGGAGCAGCCGAGGATCGAACCGGCGTTATAGAGGCTGCGGGCAGCTTCGCAACCCAGCGCTCTACCGCTGCGCCACCGGGGAGGCCCTAAAATGTCTGCTCTTTACATTTGTCCACTCAATGCTGATGTTCTCCACATGCATCTTATGAGTTGCTTCCATGAACTGCGCGCACAGTATACCATGTGGGGATCCAGCCCTTCATTAGCCACCACACCCCCGGTGATGCACACTTAGCTTGTCCCCAATGCCCCCATTAAAGCAGTACTAAAATTGTACCTAAACAGTGCCAAGGACAGTGCCAAAGGTGGGGGACAGGTCACTCTCTATGGGTTCTCACCCACATGCTGACTCAGGGTGGGTGAGGCTCAGGGAACAACAGGGAGAGGTTACTTTAATGAAGAGTAGATTGGGGAGGGCCTCCCCGGTGGCGCAGCGGTTGAGCGCTGGGTTGCGAAGCTGCCCGTGGCCTCTGCGGCGCCGGTTCGATCCCCAGCTGCTCCCCGGCCACCGGAGGAGGGTCCTACATGGCGCGCAGACCTCTCCTGCCGCCCGCTGCTCCCCTCAGTCCTTCAGTCCTTCTGCCTGCTCTGCTCCCCGCTCTGGCTCTGGTGAATTCTCTCACCCTCCCGCGCTTCTGACTGTACCCAGTGCATGTATAAACAAAACAAACAAACGAATAATAAAAAAAAAAAGAGTAGACTGGGGAAACAAAGGGTTTCAAAGACCACTAGTGGCCACTGTCTCACCCAGAGAGTGTCTGTAGTGTCCAGTAGTCCCAAAGACTGCTGCTGCAAGACAGTGCTGTCCCATCAGTGAGGGCCTGGAGCTGTGGCAGATCAGGATCCAAATTACAGTGGTAGCTGGAGGCGCTCACAGGTGGGGCCACTGAGGTGCCACTGCAATGGCCTGCGGCAGCAGTCTGAAGGCCACTTGGACAGCACTGGATGTGGACGGACAGCAACAGAGGCGGTGCTAGATGATCAGAAGTGGTGGACAGCTTTCAAAGATGGCTAGACACAGAGTGCCAGTCATCTGTCAGCAGTGCTGCTCAGCACCGGTGCTGGTCACCACCGCTCACCACCTCCGGGCAGAGATACCAGTGGTACAGCTCTTTGTGAGCTAGTGGGATGAGCCAAGAGCTACCAGGTCTTCGAGACACCTGGCCAAGGCGATGGGGCTCTTCGCAGGTGCTCTCAGAGGCAGGGCGGGGCATGGCCACAGGTGGGTCTCTGCAAGGGTCAGCTGAGGTCTGGAGGTCTCCAGGGGCCTCAGAGTTTGCGGAGGTCTTGGCGTCTGTGGAGGTCTGTTGAACTCCTTGGAAGTTGTCTGCTCGACGCTTCTTCAGAGTGAATCAAGCCGGCTCCTCTGTCTTATATGCTCTTCTGGGTCCCCTCCCCCACAAGCCTAATTAGACCATTTTCCATCCTAAGCATTTGATTGATGAGCTCAAGCCCTTGACTGACAGCTGGCGAGCTTGAACCTGATTGGTCTATTTACGATCCTGGTGTCAGATTTAAAAAGAAAAACCCTGGCACCTGCATTGAGGTCAGGTCAGCCTCTCTGCCAACAGTCTCCAGGGAGCCACAGATGAAACAGGCCTGGGGGGGGTGGGGGGCCAGAGGCACTTTGCACCGGGTGCAGGTGTAACAATGCAATGGGGGTGCTGCAGCAGCACAGGGACATGGGGCCCAGAGCTGCCGCAGAGGGGGTTCTGCTGGGAGCCTGCCATGTTGGCCTGACAGTCTGTGGGCCTCCACTGTGGGAGCCCCAGGGCTAGCTTGCTTTGGGGAGGGTGCTGCATGCCTTGGAGCAGTGGGGTGGGGAGACCTGCACCACTGCAGCCTGCCAGGCACTTTCACTGTGTCCGGGCCAACCCTCTAGGCACCACGGGGCCCATCACAGCATCACAGGCAGCACCGCTGTAGGCAGCTCCACACTGTCCCCTTATGGACGGTCAAAGAAGTCTTCCTGGAGTAGGACTTCCAGGTCACAGGTTACAGGCACCCTTGACTTCACACGGTACCCTGCAGCTCTCCTAGCTATACTCATCCACGCACACAGTGCAGGGGTTCCAGATTTCCCTCAACACACAGGACACCAGCTTTCCGAAGGCTCACTTCCACCTGGAGTCTCTGGCTACTGAGAATTTGAACAACTCTTCGTACACTTGTCACGGGAGTGCCCTCTTCTGTGAATTGTCTGCTATCTTTTTTTTTTTTTTAAGATTTATTTATTTATTTATACAAGAACCAGGGTACAGGCCAGATGCGTGGGAGGGTGAGAGGATTCACCAGAGCCAGAGCGGGGAACAGAACAGGCAGACTGACTGAAATACACTGCTGAGGGGAGCAGCGGGCGAGACAGGAAGGAGAGGGCTGCTGCTCCATGGGGGATTCTCGCTGCCCGGCGGGATCAAGCCAGCGCTGCAGAGGCTGTGGACAGCTTCACAGCGCTGCTCTCAACCGCCTGCGCCCCCAGGGGAGGCCCTGCTCCGATCCTTTGTCCACCTTTTTTCCTGCTGTTTTTTGCTGCTGGTTTGCAAGTCTGTACCTTTCTACGTATTCCTCTTTTGCTGGTTTCGATGTTGCCTCAAGCTCCTCCCTGTCTTTGCCTCCTTGCTTTGACTGAGGTGTCAGGAAGCAACCCTGGTTTTTATACAGCAAGTCCATCCCACTTGTGCTCCTTGAGTCTTGTTTGAAGTTCAAGGTTACAAAGACACTCTGTTCTACTTACCACCTTGTTTTATTGGCCTGATGGTTTTACTATCTAGAGAAATGTTGCAACAATATAGTTAACTCTGGAGCCAAGCTGCTTGCCCTGGATTTCCAGTTCTTACCCTTCCTAACTGTGGGACCTTGGAGGCCAGGACTAGAGTAAGGAGAGTGAGGCATTCCGTTGGATGAAAAATTAAGGCACACTCAGAAACTCAGTAAGCAACATTAGTGATGTTTAAAAAAATCAAATTAAAACACTCCATGAACAAAATGTCAAAATCTTAAAGACAGGACTCAGTCTGGCATGACTTACTTGCCTCACCCGGGTCCTGGTCCTGGCTTGAACAAATGATGTCATATCTTTGTGCCTCTGTTTCCTCACTTGCCAGATGGAGATAATGTCCTTCTTAGCATTCGTTTAGGAGTAAGTGAGTTAGTCCTATGTACCTCCTAAACAATCAGTCTTTCTATGTCTGAATAGTGGTGCCACTTTTATCATGTATCAAGCTTATAGCTATTAACATATATTTTAGGGTTTTTTTGTTTCCTTTGATCTGTTTGACTATTTCTCAGTCAATATCATGTGCTCCTTACAGGGGAGGAACTGTGGTTTACTATGGCAGGGGGAGTCCCCACTTCTGATCATCACTTTTTCAGTTTTGACCTAGTGTTTTATGGACCTTTATTCTTTAAAAAAAAAAAAACTAATTTTTAAAAAAGATTTATTTATTTATTTATTTATTTATACAAGAACCAGGATACAGGCCAGATGCGCGGGAGGGTGAGAGGATTCACCGGACACAGAGCGGGGAACAGAACAGGCAGACTGATGAAATACACTGCTGAGGAGAGCAGCAGGCACAACAGGAGAGGTCTGCCGCACCATGTGGGTATCTCCCAGGCCCAGCCAGGCTCAAACCCGCACTGTGGAGGCTGTGCACAGCCTCACAGCGCAGCACTCAACCACCCGCGCCACCAGAGAGGCCCTTGACCTTTATTCTTCTATAGAAATGTTGTGCAAATGTTTTCAAGTTCTTCAAAAATCCTCCCCCAGGGCATCCCTGGTGGCGCAGGTGGTTGAGTGCTGTGCCGTGAAGCTGTCCTCAGCCTCTGCAGCGCTGTTCGTTACCAGCTGGCCGGGGAGATAACCCACATGGCACGGCAGACCTCTACGGTTCTCGCCCACTGCTCCCCTCAGCGGTGTATTTCAGTCAGTCTGCTTGTTCTGTTCCCCACTCTGTGTCTGGTGAATCCTCTCACCCTCCCGCACATCTGGCCTGTACTCCAGTTTTTGTATGCATAAATAAATAAATCTTAAAAAAAAAATCCTCCCCCGATTTTTTCATTGGTATTTCACTGAATTTATTAATTTCAGGAAAAAGCACAGCTTTCGGCCTCCCCGGTGGCGCAGCAGGTTGAGCATAGCACTGTGAAGCTGTCTGCAGCCTCTGCAGTGCCGGTTCGATTCCCAGCCGGCCAGGGAGATTCCCACATGGTGTGGCAGACTCTCCTGTCTCACCTGCTGCTGCCCTCAGCAGTTTACTTCCGCGGTCCTTCTGCTTGTTCTGCTCCCTGCTCTGTCTTTGGTGAATTCTCTCACTCTCCTGCGCCTCTGGCCTGTACCCCAGTGCCTGTATAAACAAATAAATCTTAAAAAAAAAAAAAAAACTTATATAAAAAAAAAGCACAGCTTTCAATGTTAAGTTGTTCTATTCTTTTTTTTTTTTTTAAAGATTTATTTATTTATTTATACAAGCACTGGGTACAGTCAGAAGCGCGGGAGGGTGAGAGAATTCACCAGAGCCAGAGCGGGGAGCAGAGCAGGCAGAAGGACTGAAGTACACTGCTGAGGGGAGCAGCGGGCGGCAGGAGAGGTCTGCGCGCCATGTGGGACCCTCGCCCGATGGCCGGAGAACGAACTGGTGCTGCAGAGGCTGCAGGCAGCTTCGCAGCCCAGCACTCAACCACTGCGCCACCAGGGGAGGCCCAAGTTGTTCTATTCTTTAACAAGTTATGTCACTTAGGTTCTTTATGTCTGTATTTATGTATTTAATGTTTTCCCCCTATAATTGAAGTCCTGAAATTTTATTTCCTAAATGCCTCATCAATTTTACTGCTGTTCTGTGTGGTACCTATGTTCTCTTACATTTTTTAGTAGACTGTCAGTGCTGTGAAGAGTATTATTAACTTTTGTTTATTTATAGCTCTGTAAACTGCTGAACTAATTTGTTTCAATCATCTTTCTGTAGATTCTGTTGAATTTTCTGTGTAGATATAATCATCTTCATTTATTTTTGTTTATTGCTTTGGCGTGGACTTCTATGCTACTACTATTGCTAAGCAGCACCACTGATTAGACAGTATTTCTTGTTTTGTTCCTGATCTTGAAGGGAATGGCTTTTATTTCCATTTGGCTTTTATCAACCCGAGAAAGTTCCTTTGTTCGTTCTATGATGTTTTATCATAGTTACAGAACTTCATCAAATGCTTTTTTGTACATTTTGAGATAACAATATGAGTTTTCGCCTTTAGTCCATGGATGCAGTAAATCACAGTAAAACATGTTTCTAATGTCAAATCGTTCCTACATTACTGGAATAAACCCTACTTGATCTTGATGTGTTTTCTTTTTTTTTTTTTTAAAGATTTTTTGAAGTCATTTGCCTTTGAAGTTTTTTTTTTTTTTAAAGATTTATTTATTTATTTGTTTGTTAGGGATTTATTTATTTATTTATACAAGCACTGAGTACAGTCAGAAGCGCGGGAGGGTGAGAGAATTCACCAGAGTCAGAGGGGGGAGCAGAGCAGGCAGAAGGACCGAAGTACACTGCTGAGGGGAGCAGCGGGCGGCAGGAGAGGTCTGCGCGCCATGTGGGACCCCTCCTCAGGTGATGCAGCTGGGGATCGAACCAGCGCTGCGAGGCTGCGGGCAGCTTCGCAACCCAGCGCTCAACTGCTGCGCCACCAGGGAGGCCCCGATCTTGATGTGTTTTCTTTTGAAAAAGAAATTTTAGTTTTTAATTGTGATGAAATACATATAACATGAATCTCACCATCTTTACCATTTTTAAGTGCACAGTTCAGTAGCATTAAGTAAATTCACACGGTTGTGCAACCAAGTTCCAGACTTTTCATTTTGCAAAACTGCAATTCTATATTCATTTAACAACTGCTCATTTCCTCTTCCTTCCCCCGGCCCCTGGCAACCATTCAGCTTTCTGTTTGTATGATTTGACTACTCTAGATACCTTAGATAAGTGGATACAGTATTTTGTAAATGACATACTGATGCATTTTTATGTTAGTTGGATGCTGGCTAGCTTCATATTTTACTGAGGATTTTTCATAATTAAATTGAATAGTAAAATATGCTTTTCATGCTTTGTGGTATTAAGGTAGCCAGGTAAAATATGTTAATCTGTTTTCCCTCTTTTTCCATTTTCTGGAACAATGTGTCCAAGATACAGACTACTTGTTGCTTCAAATTTTGGCAGATCTTGCCTGTCAACTTCCTGTGTTGGTTAAAAAAAGAAAAAAAAAAAAAAAACTAAGCACGTGTCCCTCTTGCCTCAGAGGTCCGACCCGCCGTGTCCTGGGGGGACTTCTTGTGGGAAATAAACCCGTGTAAATATCTCAAGCTCTTAGCACCTGGGGCAGCCGGGACAGACAGTAATAATTCCAAATTATGAGGCTGGAATGAAGACAGTGCAGAGGGCCCAAGACACTCCCCATGTTGCAGAAATAAATTCTAGCCTTTTACCCAGGCAAGGGAAGAAGAAGAGATACTTCAGGAATGGTGAGATCCGGAGGAGCTTTATTATTCATGAGGTCTCAGACCTGGGTGGCCCCCTAAGGTCTGAGCACCTGTCTAGAGATAAAGCGTTTCTTTCATACACAACCGTCTTACATTGATAACATTGGTTAGCAAGCACAACTGTTTGCTGTAAAACTGCTAGACAAAGGGAGAAAGATGGACATTCCGGGAAGTCCTTGAGAGGGAACTCAGTTTGGCCGGCCCTCCGACCTTGTTAAAATGTAACCTCGTTTAGACAAGCTAAAACTTAGATGGAAAGCTCTCTAAGGAAAGGCTTATCAAATAAGCAAACTTGCTATTTACAAGTGCATTGGATTATTTACTGCACCAGGCCTAAGACCCTTTAGCAGGAAAGATTTGCTGAGCAGTTCCTTTTCACCCAAACTTGGTTACTAAACCTTGTATGGGGGAGCATCAGCCTGTTAGGGCTGGTTTGCAGCTAGTTTCCAGAGGCAGAGAGAAACGTCGATTAAGTTGCAAATTTCCTCACTTCCATCGTTCATGTCCTCCCAAGTACATGCTGGCCACCTACTGTGTGCTGGCCACCTACTGTGTGCACGGCACTGAGGACTCAGCGGTGAGGACACAGCCCCCTCTGACCCACCAGGGGCTCTCGGTCCCTGCAGGAGGCCGGAAACCCTTCTTCCGCGCCCTCTTCCTGTTTTTTGTTGTTAAGAGAAAAATCCAGATGCAAAAATTACTGTTGTGCAAGATATACGCGCACACACCAGACACAAAAACAAAACCAAAAAAAGACAAAGGGGAAATAAACGAACTTAGCAGCTTCGGGGGCGGCGTTCCAGACGGGCTTCCGCCGCCCAAGCCCGGCCCCCGCAGCTGGCACAGCTGGCCCGTCACCCCACGTCTCCAGCCGGAGGGGCGCCCGGCCCACGTCAGCTTTACGACACCGCCGCCCGGACGCCCCGCCCCGCCCCGCCCCGCCCCGCCCCGCCCCCGCGGCGGGCCCGGCCCCGCCTTCCTCCCAGACTCAGGCCCCGCCCCTGGGCGGGCACCGCCCCCAGCCGCAGCGCAAAGAGCCAATCGTCGTCCGTTTCCACGTCCCGTCCCTTTTTGGCGTCTGCCCTCAGCCAAAATGGCGCCATCTCGGAAGTTGCCGAAGCGCTAGAAGTTGTCGAAGCAGGTCCGGAAGCTGCCGAGCGAGTCCGGAAGTTACCGAAAGAGAGCAGCGGGGAAGGAGGATGGCGGATGTCATCGCAAGACTCCGGGAGGACGGGATCGAGAAGCGTGTGATACAGGAGGGCCGAGGAGAGCTCCCTGACTTTCAGGATGGCACCAAGGTTCGTGTCAAACCCTCTCCCCCCAGCCCCGTCTGCGGCGCGGTGCGCATGCGAGGCGGGAGGAGGCCGTAGGCGAGAGGTTGCGCATGCCCAGACAGTAGCGGCCGGTGACCCTACCCGCTCACATGCGGAGCTCGACGATGATTGGTTGGAGTTTAAGTGGGGCGTGAATTCGGATGCTTTTGCCCCGCCCCCTGGCCTGGCCCTGCGGCCGCATTGGCCCGGGAGGCCGTCCGTCATCACCAGCACCCTCAGCGCCTGAGGAAGGCCGGGGCGTGGCAGGGGCCCGTGGGCCCCTGGGTCGCCGGGTTTGCGGCCCCTTGTGGAAGGTCGGGCCTTCCGGGAACGCCTGGGCCGTGTCCCGTTGCTGGCTGAGGAGACCGGCCTCGGAACCGGCCCAGGGGTCGGGTTCGCCGACCAGAACCCTTGGCCGCTTTCCGACTGCTTCGCGTGGCATCACGCGGGCAGACGCGGGCCCGGAGCCGTCTCCCGGCCGCCCCCCGGCCGCCCGGGCCCCCACCCCGCAGCCCTCCGCCCCGCCCTGCGAGCTGCCCGCCGGCCCCCGCCGCTGCCGGGGTGCCTCTCCCGGTCGCCCTTCCCAGCCGCCGCCGGTCCTCGTGTGAGGGCCTTCGCAGGGCGGCCCCTGCCCCGGGGCGGCCCGCAGAGCACACGCGCCGCGCTGACCCGGGCCCGGGAGCCGCCGAGGTATGGGCGGGGCCGCCCCCCACAGAGAAGGGGCGCGGCTGCGGCAGCCCGCGGGGTTCTCGAAGGAGGGAGATCCTGGAACACCCCACGGCGGCGAAGGAACAGGCTCAGCTAATACCACAGAACAGCCTCGGCGCCAAATGCTCTCGCCGCTTTCCTCTGGGCCCGCGAGGCACAGGGGCCGGGGCAGCCCCGGTCCTGCTGGAGCTGAGAGGAGCGGCGCGTGTGGGGGTGAAGAGTGTGAGCGCCTCCGCCCATATCCTGTCGCGGGTTCCCTCTGCAGGCCCCTCTCCCCGCTCCCCCTGGCTGGCCTGGCCGCGGCCCTCCTGTCTCCTCAGCAGGCGCTCGTGCCTGCCCCTCCTTGCCCCTCCCCGTCCCGCTCAGCCTCCCCCTCTCGCACCTGCCTTCCCGCGCCTGACCATCCCACCGCACGTCCGGGCGGCTAACACTTAGCCCAGGCCCATCTCAGCGGAGGGCACCTCAGCCTCTGCTGCTCAGGCCGCGAAACCACAGGTTTCTTTTGCCAGGTCTGTTCGTGTCTGTCCCACAGCAATTTTGGAAATAGACGGGGATCTGACACCCCCCACCGCAGCTCCCGCCCCCGCTCTTCACCTCCCCTGGGGCTTCGCGGCCTCCTACCCCGGTCTGCGCCCTCTCACCTCGGGCGCCTCAGACCCAGCCAGGTCATGCGCCTCCCTTGCTTGGAGCCTCCCGGGCTTCCATCTTCACGTGGAAAAATGGAGTCCTCCCCATGACCTTTGCGGTCCATCTGCTGACCTTGGGATCCCCTGGTGCACCCCTCCGTTACCCTGCCCCTGCCACACTGCCCTTGCTGCTGCTGCCAGCACAGGCCTTGCCCCGGCCCATGGCGAGACTTCTGCACCTGCTGTTTTTTTGGCCAAGGAAGTTCCTGATCCCCTCCTACCCCGGCATCTGGCCAGCTTCTCTCCCCCTTCAGATCTCTGCTTAAGTGTGGCCTCCTCAGAGAGGCCCCTTGCCCCTGCATAAACTCGCCCCACCCTTCCCAGCACCTTGTTTGCCTCGCGGTCCCGTGAGCAGGGACTTTTGTCTGTGTTGCTTGCTGCCGTGTCCTGCTGACAGCACAAAGCCGGGCACAGGTAGGCACCAGTAGGGGAAAGACACTTGGAGCCTGGTCTGTTCTTGTCTGTCCCACGGCTATTTTGAAAATACACCAGGATCTGATACACCCCACCGCACCTCCCGCCCCCACTCCTCGCCTCGCCTGGGGCTTTGCGGCCTCCTGCCTCCCCTTTCTTTGCTGGGACTCTCCTCCCAGCCCGCCCCCCCAGTCACCGTGTAACTCACTTTCCTCCCCTACTGGGTGAATGTCAAAGCCACATAAAGATCAGGTGGTGACCCAGCTGGGGGCTGGCTCATCCTTGGGGGTTCGTGGGGGTTTGTACCCTTGCCTGATCCCACGTGTGGCTCGCAGGCCACATTCCACTACCGGACCTTGCACAGCGACAAGGAGGGCACCGTGCTGGACGACAGCCGGGCCCGTGGCAAGCCCATGGAGCTCATCATTGGCAAGAAGTTCAAGCTGCCCGTGTGGGAGACCATCGTGTGCACCATGCGTGAGGGCGAGATTGCCCAGTTCCGCTGTGACATCAAGGTACTGGACATCCGCACCTGCCCCCAGGGTCTAGCCAGCTGGGCCCTTGTCTCCACCCTGGCTAGGCCACCACCAGCCCCCCTGGGCGCCACACCAGCCCGGCATCCCGGCCCCTCTCCTGCCTTCCACTCTCCAGTAGCCTGAGTGCAGCCAGGAGACGCATTCTCAAGTGAGCACAGCCCAGCAGCCCCTTGTTTCAAACCTCGCTGGCTCCTTGTCACCATCAGGCTAAAGCATTAGCTCCAGCTGTTCCGTGGCCCTGCCCGCCTCCCCCAGCTCCCCCACAGCCTTCGCATCCTCCTCTTGGCCATGGTTCCCCTTCATACTTCAAATTCATACTTTGTGAAATCCTAAGTCACCACCCCCAGGAAGCCCTCCCCAGCTGCTGGTGGTTGATTTGAACCCTGCCTCTTGGGCCTCCCACCCCTCATGCTTCTTGGTGGTTAGGAGCTTGGCCCAGCCCGGAGCCAAAGCCCAGGACACATCCGCTGGCTGGGTGCACGTTAGCCTAGCTGTCTGCCCCCGCAAGGGAACGGGCAGTGAGAGGAGCTGGCAGCGACGGGGTGAGGCGTAGGCCCTACCATCCCCTCCAAGGGTCTCCCCTGCGGGTTTGAAGTGCTGTCCCGGGCCCAGCGTAGGGATAGGCCCAGGATGGGGTGGCGGTGGGCAGGGGGAGAAGGCAGCGTGCTGGGATCAGACTGTGAAGGAGCCACAGGAGGAGGAGGTGGGAATCCACTGAGGATGGGGAGGCAAGCGGCGAGGGAGTGTGTATGCGGGGCTGGGAGTAGGTGGCCGCTTGCGGCAGAGCCCGGGGCGTCCCTGGAAGGGAGGCTGCGAGGCTGGAAGAGGCCGGGGGAAGCCCTCATGCCTTCCCGCGGAGTGGGGCCTATGCCACTGCTGCCCCCCAGGCCTCCAGGGCCTCTCTCTGACAGTCGGGGGGCAGGGCCTGGTCTTCTTGCGTCCAGTGAGAAACCGGCCCATGCTGACAGGCCCCCACGCCCTCCTGCCCTCCTGCAGCATGTGGTCCTGTACCCGCTGGTCGCCAAGAGTCTTCGCAACATCGCTGCTGGCAAGGACCCCCTGGAGGGTCAGCGGCACTGCTGCGGCATCGCGCAGATGCACGAGCACAATTCTCTGGGCCACGCCGACCTGGACGCCCTGCAGCAGAACCCCCAGCCCCTCATCTTTGACTTTGAGATGCTTAAGGTGAGGGCCCTCCAGCCCTGGTGCCTCCCCCGGCTGCCCTGCCTGCCCATCTGGGGCACGGGGGCGCTGACCTATGGATGGACCGTTGGGTTGGGACAGGGCAAGTGCAGGGGGCCTGGCGGTCCCGTGGGTCTCCCCCAGAGCCCCTCCTCTTCCCGGTGTCAGCGAGGGCAGAGACCGTCCCCGTCTTCCTCGCTGTTCTAGTCTCAGGACCTGGCTGAGGCACTGGGCACGCGGGAGAATGGTCAGTGAATGGACCAGCGATCCTGCTTCAGGCCAGTGCCCGATACCCGCCCGCCCAAGGTCAGGCCTGAGGCTGGAGAGGCGGTGCTGCCCCGAGGCCCCCGCTCCAACTGGCCCCTGCCCGGCAGGTGGAGCACCCTGGCACGTACCAGCAGGACCCGTGGGCAATGACAGATGAGGAGAAGGCCCAGGCCGTGCCGGTCATCCACCAGGAGGGCAACCGGCTGTACCGCGAGGGCCATGTGAAGGAGGCCGCCGCCAAGTACTATGATGCCATCGCCTGCCTCAAGAACCTGCAGATGAAGGTGCCGCGGGCAGGCCAGCAGGCGGGCCAGCAGGCGGGGCAGGCACAGTCAATGGGGGGCCCAGCTCACTGCCTCTCCCCCTCTGTCCCCATGTCCAGGAGCAGCCCGGGTCCCCGGACTGGATCCAGCTGGACCAGCAGATCACACCGCTGCTGCTCAACTACTGTCAGTGCAAGCTGGTGGCCCAGGAGTATTACGAGGTGCTGGACCATTGCTCCTCCATCCTCAACAAATATGAGGGTGAGCGCCCCCGGCCTCCTGCTCCCTGTCTCCTGGGCACTGGGCACAAGACCTTGCCTTTGACGTCACCCGCACTCTGAGCTCCCACAGAGCCGACCCTGTGCTCCCTGCCCAGGCAGGGCCATGGGGCCCTTGTGCCCCTTGGGGGTGAATGGTGTCCCGGGCTGGGGGCTTCGGGGTGGAAGGTTGCCCCCCTCACCCTGGTGTGCCTGCTGCCCACTGGTGCCCCCTGCAGACAACGTCAAGGCCTACTTCAAGCGGGGCAAAGCTCACGCGGCCGTGTGGAATGCCCAGGAGGCCCAGGCTGACTTCGCCAAGGTGCTGGAGCTGGACCCCGCCCTGGCACCGGTCGTGAGCCGAGAGCTGCGGGCCCTGGAGGCGCGGATCCGGCAGAAGGACGAGGAGGACAAGGCCCGCTTCCGGGGTATCTTCTCCCACTGACAGGCCCTGCCCGGCCCAGCACTGCCGCTGCCAGCCCACCTGTCCCACTACTCCCGCCTCTGTGTATAAAGGCCTTATTTATCTCTCTCTGGGGCAGCTGAACTGATTCGTTGGGGGAGCCGGGTCACCACCTCACATTCCCTGCTACCTGGGTGGTCTTGGAAGGCACAGGGTCAGGCTCCACACCCCAGCTGCCCACCTCCCTGACAGAAGTGAGGGGCGGGCTCTGCCACCAAGGAGGTGTTTCCTGTTGGCCAAGGCTGGGGTGTAGGAGCCTGGGATCCTCAGGGAGCAAGGTAGGCTCATGCCAGGGGGCTTGGTGCTGAGCACGGTGGCCTCCAACCTCTGACTCCGTGGCCCCACAGTGGCTTCTGGGGCAGAGCTTTCAGCAAGAGGCCAAGTCTGGGCAGAGGGTGGCCCCTGCCCGCCGCAGGGCTGGCCCAGGCGGGGAGGGTTGGCAGGAAGGACCTCGGGTAGCGAGCAGGATAAAGCCCTCCTGAGACAGGCCTCGCGGCCCTGGCCCATCCAGACCATGCCTCCGGGATGGCCTGGCCCCTCCTGGCCTCGTGTCCCCATCGACCTGGACGCTGGTGGCTGGCGGGATGCGGGTGGTGTTTATTTTCATGGATTTACACGCACTGGAAAAGCCTTTGGGCCCTGGCGGTGCCCTCTTCCCTCCCCCTGGCTGTGTCCCCCACGTGAAAGGGACGTAACACTGACGGGCAGGCAAAGATGCAGGATGTGGGGCTGGGGGCCAGCCTCCCACACATGGCCCCTCGCCCCTCGAGTCTGCATGAATAGCTCACGTCCAGCCGGTTGGGCCTCACTCTTCACTGTCCAGCTTGAGGCTGATGCTTCGGGCCTTGCCCCGGGCCAGGGTGGTGGGGGGCGTCCCCGGCCCCTCGCGCTCTGCCTGGCTGGGCCCCCGTGAGCGAAGCAGCTGGCTCTGCTTGCGCAGGAAGTCCACGGGGGCAGCCCCGCCGTAGCTGCTCTTGGCCAGGCTGGCCCTCGAGGGTCCCGCAGGGGCATGAGGGTGGGAGCCCGCTTCCAGCTGGCCCAAGTGGGCCACGTAGCCATCCGACAGGAACTGTGGACGAGGGTGGGCGGGGATGAGGGGCTGGCGGGATGCGCACCCTCCTGCTGCTCTCTGCCCGCCTCCCTCGGCTCCCAGGCAGCGGGGGCTGCACCACAGGCCGGGTCTGACCCAGTCTCCCAGCACGTGGCGACCCAGGCCGGGTGCCAGGGTGCCGAGGCTTCACTCTGACTCCAAGCCTCGGTGTCCTCGCTGTACGGTGGAATCACTCAGCAGGCCCTAGCTTTCTGCCCAGCCCTGCGTGGTGCTGTGCGTGAATCGTGATCTTTGCGACAGCTGTCAAGGTGGGTGCAGCTTACCTTCCACTTCACAGGTGGGGTATTGAGATTGGCAGGGCCAAGGCACATGCCCAGGGCCAGGCAGAGCCCAGCCAGCACTCCAGGTCTTGACACCCCCCTGAGTGTGGAACCCTGTCCTGGGAGGAACCCAGGTCCCCTGAGAGGCTTCAGAGATGAAAGGGTGGGGAGCGGGGAGGGTGTCTTGACTCGGTGGCCAGTGCCACCTCAGTGTGGCAGAGCTTCCTCACAGCCGCCCCCTCTGGAGCCTTTGAACCCGCCCTCCCACCAGGCTCCCGCTCCCTGGGGGCCCCACCTGGTGCCCACCTGGCACTGAGCCTGCAGCTTCCGCACTGCACGGCCCACAATGTAGGTCTGGCTGGGGGGCAGGCCCAGCGCTGCATACACAGCCACATCTTTGGGGGACCCGTATCCGGCTACGATGTTCAGTTCCACCTGTGGCAGAGATGCCATCAGCCCCCCGGACCCACCCTGGTGTTGGGGGTGGGGGTCTCCCATGCCTCCAGGGGTTGCTTCAGGGACGAGGCTTGTCAGGTGGTGGGGGACCCGGGGAGGGCAGCACCAGCGAGTCCCTCCCGGCCTCAGGGCTGAGTGTCTCCTCCACCACCAGGGGGCAGGACCGTGGGGAGAGCTGTCAGGGCCGCAGCAGGGAAGAGGCGGGACCTGGCGGGGCTGGGCTTTGGGCGGAGGGAGTGGGTGAGAGGATGGGGAACCCGCGTTGCCCCCCACCTCCTGCACGAGGCTCTGCAGAAACACGGCCTTCTGGCGCAGCGGGTCGTGGGTGAGGCCGTCACAGAAGGAGACCACGCCGTGGGGGAAGTTGTGCTGCGACAGCCAGGCCACCACGCGGTGCTTCTGCATGTCGGGCCGGCCCGTGACGTACAGGATCAGGTAGCCCGCATCCTGCCAGTGCCTGCGGGGCGGTGGCCGTCAGCGCGGCCCGGGCGGAGGTCCCCGCGGGAGCCAGGGGCAGCGCACCTACCTGACCACGTCCACTGCGCCGGCGCGCACCTTGGGGTCGCTGCCCATGATGGAGACGCTGGCGGTGAAGGAGCCGTCGATGCTGAAGACCACGGCCTCTGTGCCACGCGCCACCACCGTCAGGCAGCATTCAGCGTACGTGTGGTCGCCCCTGCGGCCCGCGGGGTGGAGTGTGAGCGGCCTGGGGCCGGGAGTCCCTCCCCGCAGAGGCCCGGCCGGCCGTGCTCACCTGACCACCATGCGCACCGGGTAGACGCCAATGCCCAGGGCACGCTCGGAGGGCACCGGGAAGGTGAGGCGACCCGAGCTGTTGGTGACCTCTGTGCCAAAGTGGATCCACTTGCCTGACAGCGGCTGCGTCATGATGTAGACGTCCACCTGGCGCGATGGGGGGGTCCCATGGGCTGGCGAGCACCCCACCCTGAATGGCCCATCCAGGGGCTGGACGGGGGCTCTAGCCGCAGGGGCTGGAGGCAGGCAGGGGCTTTGGGAGGGTAGCCCCCCCCGTTGGGCAAAGTCACCCTGGCTGGGCTGGGTCTGCCCTGGGCCGGGGTGAGGCCAGAGGGTCCTGACCTTCTCTCCGGTGAGCGTGACCACGTCCAAGGGCCCGTACATGAAGCGCCCACTCAGCACCTGGGGGCGGCCCTCGCACACCACCGTGTCGCTCGCCCGGTGGTTGGAAGTGACGTTCTGCCAGGAGGAGACAGCGTGAGCCTGGGGTCAGGTAACGGGAGGCAAGGGGCCGCTGCAGAAGGGACGCGTCCAAGGGGTGGGTGCTTTTGTTGGCGGGGACTGCCGGGTGCCACGCAGAGGCTGGGTGCCCAGCCCGGACTGACCGGGGCTTGAGGGGCGGAGGAGACCCAGGGGGCCATGACCATGGGGGGCAGACCCAGGAAGGCCAGAGTGGCAGCCAGGAGGGGCAGGGCAGGTACCCGGATCTTGACTTGGGTGCGTTTGCGCTGCCACTTCTCCCTGGGGAAGGCCGGGCTGTAGATGGATGGCTCCTCGCACTCGGCCAGCTGCGGCCGCTCCTTCTCGATCACCTGCGCGGCGGGGAGGGGAGGCCGCGTGAAGGCGGGAGCGCCCGGCCCCTCCCCCCGCACCCGCTGCTCAGCCCTGGGCCCACCTGGCGCAGGATGAAGGCCACCACGTCCGCCGACTCCCAGTAGCTGGCGTGGAAGAGGTGGGGCAGCGTGACGGTGGGGAAGGCGGTGAGCGCTTCGGGGCAGTAGAGCGAGTAGTCGATCCGCTTGGTCCCCCACCAGCGCTCCAGGACTGCCAGGCAGCGAGTCAGGGGTGACCTCACCGGGGGCCGCCTGGCGAGCCCCTGGGCACACTTCCCTGCCCCCTTCCCAGCAAGCCTGCTCTTGCCGAGTCCCAGCTGAGTGCCGGCGGGGGTGTTTCCTCCGGACTTTGGGGTCAGGCACACACCGCTCCCCGGGCTGGGCGGTGGGCGGCCAGCGCACTTACTCTTAACCACCTCGCCGGTGGTGCTGGGGGCAGCTGGCTGGGCCGGTGGCTCGGTGCCTAACTCGCTGCCCTTCCAGAAGGCACCGCTGGCAGAGGTGGGTGTAGAGGGCACCAACATCTCCAGCTCCTCCAGAAAGAGGCCCGAGTGGGTCTGCAGGGTGTCGGCTGGGGGCGGAGGGGCAACCTCAGCGCCAGGCGGGCCCACTCCCTCCCGTCTTACCCCCAGGGGTTCTCAGCTAGCGGGGCTCCTCTACCCCCATCTCCCTGCCAGCACCCCCGGGCAGGTCTTGGCTGAGGCTGAGCTGCCTCGTAGCTGAAAGGGCACACTCTTAGCTCACCCAGCAGCCACTCCGTTCCTGCCAGACGCCTGCACCCCCCACCCCAACAGAGCCCCACTTGTCTCCTAGCCAAATGGGTGCCCACTTGCACATATCCACTTGGTACATGGCCCGGACATGAGTGCAGGTGCCTGTGGAGATACCCTCCAGACGCTGGCATACTGCCCTCACTGCCCCTCATTCCAGGCTGTCATCACCACTGCCCCAGCTCCTGGGCAGAGGGGCAGAGGGTCCTGGGATCCAGATCTCCCAAGGGCCAGGGCAGGGCTCCCTTGGTCCTGGGGGTACTGACAACTGATGCGGGAACTACCCCATGTCTTGGGGGACCCACCCTCCCCGCTGATGCCTCCCTCCCCCTTTTATCTAGGCTGGGGGCATACCCAGCAGCAGGGACGAGCCATCTCCCAGGGGGAACTTCTGGTAGCGGGGCACAGTCAGTGGGGCGATGGCCTGGAACTTGGGGGCCAGCAGGGGCTCAAGGCGGGAGGCGCAGGGGTCGGCTGCATGGAAGAGGTTGTAGATCTGCTCGCAGGCGGGGCGCATCTGGGTCACTGGTGTCAGGAGGAAAGGGCGGGGCTTGAGCTGGGCGTGCTGTGACTCCCCTGCACGCTGTGTGACCCTGAGCCAGCACTTCCCAAGCCGCACCCCCTGGGCCGGCACCAGGCGGTGCCCAAAGTCAGCTTTCTTGGTTGAGAAGGAACCAGCCTGCAAGGTGCTGCCGTGGCCCAGGAAGAAGCCTTCCCAGGCTCGCTCTGGACCCCTCGCGGGGCAGGTCTGACGTGCGCGCCTCCCAGGGCACTGGCCTGGACAAGTCCCTTCTTGCTGGCCATCCAGCACCCCCTCTCTGGCCGGGTCATTTAGTGTCGGTATCCCAGCGTGGCGGGCGAGGTGAAAAAGCAGCAGGGCGGG